TAACCCACTCTTCTTTCCCAATATTGTAACATTGCATAGTCTCTCAAGGTTAAACAAAAATTTGTTCATATTTCCTTTTTTAACCACTTGCGACAAAGTGGCCATTGTAAAGTGTCCTTGTCCCAGCTGGACTCTTTGGTCGCTGACTGACGTGTATTTGTTTTACAAAAATATCTTAATCTTAATAAATTGTAAAATTTAATTTTATCCCCACTTTTCAGTGATAAAATGTATTACCAACATCAACAGCAAATCCCTCAACAACAACCGTCATTAGCGACAAATGCTTATCCAATGCAATATCCGCCACAACAACCACCTTCACACCCACAGCCGTTTCCAAGTGTTCCTCAAGTACCACCACAACCGCCTAGACAAAACTTTGATTCAAACACAGTACAGCAACAACCTGGTGTTATGCCAAATCACATTGGGAACTACCAACAGCAAATGTTACAACAACAATATGCACCGCAACAAATGACGCCGTCTTCCATTGCTGGATTTGTACCACCTACAGCTACCACTGGAGCAGGTTTTCCTCCTGCTCCTCCAACAGGATTTCCTCCTGCTCCTCCAGGAGCTTTTCCTCCTGCAGCTGGATTCCCTTCTGCTCCTGCAAATTTTCCTCCAGCTCCTGCAGCGGGCTTTCCTCCAGCTCCTGCATCAGGCTTTCCTCCAGCTCCTGCATCTGGCTTTCCTCCAGCTCCTGCAGGAGGCTTTCCTCCTGCTCATGCATCAGGCTTTCCTCCAGGCCCTCCGCAACCTCAGAAGCAACGCTTAGATCCAGAAATGGTCCCAAGTATTGTAAGTATTAACAATCTAAAAATTTTAATTTTAAATTCTTATTCAGATTCAAGTTATAGAAGATGATCGAAGTTCACGATCTGGCCTTTTTCCAACTGGATTTCCGCAAGCTGAACTGCCTCCATTAACTACAACTGAATTTGTTGCTCAAGATCAGGGTTTCTTTTTATTTTTTGATTTAAAACTATGGTAGTAGACCAATGATAAAGTTCAAAATAAAATAAGACCTATGTAATTCGATTCTTCTCTGGTCTATTACACCTGTCTGATTAACCTCATTTAAGGTAATTCAAATCCAAAATTTATTCGTTCAACAATTTATTCTGTTCCGCTAAGCAATGATATTACAAAAGCTACACATTTGCCGCTATCTTTAGCGTTGACACCTTTTGCCAAATTACATCAATCTGAGGTAAATATTTACATATATTTTGTTTAAAACATTTTTAGTATCCTCCTCCACTCATTAATCTTGGTGACATAGGACCTGTTCGTTGTCAACGCTGTAAAGCTTATATGTGTCCATTTATGGAGTTTATTGACGGAGGACGAAAATTTCGATGTCCTTTTTGTAAGGCTAACTCCGCAGGTAGTTTTTATAAAATCCTACATCTTTTCTAATTGCTTATATTAATAGTTCAAGACGCATATTTTGCACATTTGGATCATTCTGGCCGTCGAACTGATATTCAACACCGACCTGAACTTTTTCTTGGTTCTTACGAATTTGTGGCGACAAAACAATATTGCAAGGTTTGGTATTGTTTATTTATTCAATTTTATACTTTTTTTTTAAAGAATGGGATTCCGCCGAAACAACCTGCTTTTATTTTTATGCTTGATGTTTCTTATAATTCTGTGCGAAGTAATTTAGTTGAGCTTTTCTGTAAAAATATTGTTGAAATTTTGCGCGATTTGCCGAAGTTTATTTACCTTATTTTTAAATTATTTTTAATTATTTTCTAGAGATAATTTATCTGATAAATCTACTATGCTTATTGGTTTGGCTACTTATGATCAATCGGTGCATTTCTATAATTTAAATCATCCGGAGAATGCTGAGATGCTTGTTGTTAATGATGTTTCAGACATTTTTGTGCCTTTTGTTAAAGGTTTCTTTGTAGAGCCTCAAGCAGCTGAAAAAGCGTTGACAAGGTTTTTATTAAAAATAAAATTAATTTAAAAAATAAATCAAAGTTGCCTTCGTGAGATTATCAACAATTTCTATAATACTCGTATTACCGAAGGTTTATTTTGTTTAAACATCTTATTTATTAAATTTATTTAAGTTGGCCTTGGTCCTGTTATTCAAGCTGGATTAGATGCACTCAAAAATTCTGAAAGGTTTTTAAAAATTTTTGAATTTTTTATCAGTTGTTTATCCTCTATTTTCTTATTTTTTAATTTAGATCAGGCAAGCTTTTTATTTTTCACTCGTCATTACCTACTCTTGCTGCACCTGGTCAACTTAAAAATAGGGAAGAACGCAAACTTCTTGGGACAGACAAAGAAAAGGTGCTCTACTATTTTTTGTTTTTAGAAAATTTCCTTTTTATTTAGACTGTTCTTACGCCAGCTGTAGATTTTTATGGAAAACTTGGTGAGGACTGTGTAAATTATGGTTGTGCAGTTGATGTTTATCTGTTTCCTAATGCTTTTATTGATGTCGCAAGTATTTCACCTGTAGTTGCAGCAACTGGGGGTTCAATCTACAAATACCAATATTTTGATGTTTGTTATTTTTGATTTTTACATCTCATTTTCTATTTTATCGTCATAATTTATTTTTAGGCTGATCAAGATGGGGTTCGCTTTTTAAGCGATCTGCGACATGGAATAAGTCGCGAAATTGCTTTTGACGTGATGCTACGGTTGCGAACTTCTACGGGTATTTTTTGGACGTATGTTAATATAAATAACTTGTAAATTTCTAGGGATTCGTCCTACTGGTTTCTTTGGTAATTTTTATATGCAAAATACTACGGATGTTGAGTTGAGTGCAATTGATAGTGATAAATCTGTTCAAATAGAAATTAAATACGATGATAAATTGGATGAGCGTGAGCCCGCCTATTTTCAATTGGCTGTTCTCTTCACCAGTTGTAGTGGACAGCGACGACTACGGATTCACAATGTTCTTTTATTAAGATTGGGAAAAATTTTAATTTATTCTCTTTTTAGCTTTCATTACCCGTCACTGCGGATTATCAAAAGGCATTTGATTTTATACAAGTTTAAAAATAATAAAATATATTTAGTTGTATCGTCATTTAGATGAAGATTGTTTGGTTAGCCATCTGTTTAAACAAGGTATCTTTTAAAAAATAGTTTTTTGTGTAATCTTATATTTTTAGCCGAGCAAACTGTACGCGATAAATGTCCAAAGGAGATGCGTGATGAATTGACTTTGCGTGCTGCACAGATCCTAGCTGCATACCGTGAAAAATGCAGCGAACCCGCACCTATGGGACAACTTATCTTACCTGAATTTGCAAAACTTCTTCCACTCCATATCAATTGCATTGTAAGGCATGATTCCTTGAATGGAGGTTAGAACTTATGAATATTAGATAATATTTTTATATTAATCTTTTTATGTATAGGTGCGGAATTAACAGTCGATGATCGCGCCTGGATGATGAGCTTAGTTCCCTCTATGACTCCTCTAGCAATCCAACAATTCCTATATCCACGTATCTACATAATCACTTCCCTCTGTTCTTCTGTTGGAAACAGCAGTGGCAGTACTGAATCACTTAAAAACGATAGTGGATGTGTGACGAAAATGCAAGGTTGTCATTTTCTTATCCAATAATTTTAAAAATACATCACTAAGGTTCTCCAGACTTCCCGGCGCCAATTCGTGCATCATTTGACTATTTCTCCCCAGATGAGGCCTATTTAATTGATAATGGTTTGGTTGCTTTTATATGGGTTGGTTCTGGTGTGCCAAGTAGCTGGTAAGTAGTTCTTATCAGATAGCTTTGATCGGCTGTTTTCTAGGCTGAAAGACGTATTCAATGTTTCCTCGATTGCACAATTGGACACAGAAAAGGTATATTTTTAAAATGATCACTAAAAATCGATTATTTAGCACCAGTTGTCTTTCTATGACAATGACTGTTCACAAGCGTTGCGTCACCTTTGGACACACTTAAATGAAAACAGGGAGAGGGCGCTGAAGTTATTCATCGTGAAGGAACAAGATGCATTAGAATCATGGATGAAGAAATTTTTGGTTGAGGATCGATATGCGAATAATGCCCACTCTTATGTGGACTTCCTTTGCCTAATACACCGCGAGATACGTTCCCTCATCTCTTGATTTGTAAGAAGCTGATTGTGAGAAAGTAAGCTGTTTATAAAGTAAATTAAGACATGTGTGAACATGGCAAATTGTGATCGACCTTTGTTAATTCCCATTATAATGACTTGTTTCCGAAATTCATGTAATTTATGAAAATTATAATATAAACTTTAGAATGAAGTTAAATTAAAATTGAGAATCGTTTATAGTTTATGCTGAAAATAATTAAGTATAAATAGGACAAACAATAAATTTACGTAACCCAATATCAAAACCAACTACCGCTAATCAAGTTGAAACTTTCAGTTTTCGAATTCTTCGCCAAAAATGACTTTTACATATATGGCGTTGATTTTGAAACAGGGTTAACCTTCCAGTTCAAGTGTATAACGTACTATTAATTTAGAAATGCATTGAGTGAGATCGAAAATAATGTAAGAGATTGGGTTGTAGGTACTGCCAAAGATTCTTTAAGTTTTACTCAGTCTTGGCCAGCGAGTTCCTAAATAAAACATGTTTCTATTTTTCTAATTGTGAGGTTATTTACAGGTATTTAAAAAGTATATCCCAAACTAACCTGTAGAGAAGGAAAGTTTTCCAGTTATCATCATCTTCATTAATTTGATCATCTTGCTTGCAATTCTTGTCCAAATATTTAAGCCTGGATAAACAAATTAAACGTTACTTTAAAATGTCGAAAGGAGTTTATGAAACTTACACAGCTAATTTGTCCTGCCGATGAAGTTTTGGTGAAAATTCTTGTAAGATCTCGAAGAAGGCAAAATTCTCAAACCGCTCTTGAGCATTTTTTGGTTTTCGTACATCCAGTTTAAGCGCATATTTGATTCCGTCCTAAATATAATATGATTTAATGTTTTTAGAAGATTTAACAAACATGATGAATCGTTGCAAGAGCTTCACGATTTTTGATGTTGTCAACGCCAAATGAGAGTGCTAACTTCTTGCCTAATTCTCTCAGCGATTGAAAGTCGTTAGCATCTTGTTCAAAGGCTTCCTAAAAGTATAAATGAAAAGATTCCCAATAATTATTTTGAAATACCTTAAATTCGTCGAACAAATAAGCCAAGGAGTGGACAATAGCTTTTGCAGTCATCACCTTGTCTAATTCTCGACATTTTGACAAGAGATGTTTGAAAATATCACCAAAGTCAGTATAATACTACAAAAAAAATTTTTTAAATCGAAGATTGCATATTTAGGAATACCTTAATAAAGTTGCGAATAAGTGGTGAAATTTCAATAATTGGAATGAGACCATAAGTAATTAATTTGACATAATGAGCAAAGATTTTACGCCGTTGTGACAACGCAAGAATTTGTAAATTACCTTCTAAAGATTCGAAAAATTATTTAAAATGGTAAAAAATTCCAAAAAATATATACCATCCATAGTATCTTCGCGCCCATAAAAAACATTGTCTAAAACAAAAGAAGAGAGGCGAATGATTGTTTCTTTATCAAGCTTAATGGCCAACGAATGTGCAGGATGCTCGGGTTCATAATCACACGCCTAAAAATTAATAAATTGACAATCTAAATACTAAATAGAAATCAACCATCTTCCAGTTGTACATTAACAGAACGTCACAAAGACATGAGAAAGCCTACATATTATAAAAAATTTACATTAGAAGAAAGATCTTACATTAATAACGCCATAAACTTGATCCCTCAAAATTAATGATGCACCCCTAATAAATTGATCCCTTCTCTTGCGTATAAATTCGATATAATTCTTTAAAATTGAAAAGTTAAAGATTAGTTGATAAAATAAAACAAACTTCCTTCAATTCTACAGTGTTTGTAGCAAGTTTTTTCGCATCCCACATTAGAGACTGATAACAAAGCAAGATGGCCTTATCCGACAAGTCAGGCTTTAATAATGGTCCATTAAGTAGTGAAAAAGTCAAATCAAACAAATCCCATTTTGCTGGAATGTCAAGATGGCCCCTACAATATAGCAACTCCCTTTACATTTTATTGGAATTTTAAAAATTCATTTTTTTTTTAATTTCTGTCACGTTTCCTCTTCTCATCCACTCCATTTAATTTTCAAAATTAACAAAAAAAGGAAGAAAATCCCACTCTGAATCGACCTTTTCCCGAAAACCTTAATAGCTTCAGCATTTTCAAAAAAAATTGAATCCGCATCTCTCGTTTATTTCAAAATTAAATATATTTTCCGGAAATTTTTTTGTTTTTATTATATTTTCCGGAAAGTTTTATTTTTATTATATTTTCCGGAAAGTTTTATTTTTATTATATTTTCCGGAAAACTTTTTTTGTTTTTAGGTGTTTAGTCGGGTTTTTTGAAAATTCATATCTCGGGGAAAATCCGACCAAAAAATTTTTTATCCGTTGATTTTATACAAGAAATTCTGATTAATATTTTAGTCAAAAAACATTTTAAAAAATTCGGCATCAAACTGAAAAAATTCGGCCTCTCTCGTTTATTTCAAAATTAAATATATTTTCCGGAAAGTTCTATTTTTATTATATTTTCCGGAAATTTTTTTGTTTTTATTATATTTTCCGGAAAGTTTTATTTTTATTATATTTTCCGGAAAGTTTTATTTTTATTATTAGGGAGTGGCAAAATATGCACGAAAAATCCCAAAATATGCGCATATATATGTACCGAAAAAGCCCCAAATATGCACTAAAATATGCCAAATTTGCCGAAATATGCACCAAATATGCAGCAAAAATAATGAAAATGTGCCTTAAAAATCAATATTTCAAGTAAATTAATACTAATTTAGCATTTAAATTGCAGTTTAAGGGCACTTCTAAAATATTTTATTAATTTAAAACTCAATTAAAAAAATTTTTTGAAAGAAATTATTCCCAAAAAATTTTTTGAAAAAATTTTTTCGACAAATTTTTATCAAAAAATTTTTTGCACAAAAAATTCCAAAATTTTGAAAATTTTGCCCGATTTTTACTAAGATTTCTCAAAAAATGCCAAAATATGCACAAATTAAGGCAAAAATATGCAAAATTTCCCAAAATATGACTTGATATGCAAATATGCACGAAAGTACTGAAATATGCAAAAATATGCTATAGGAACTCGGTCCCTAATGTTCGTACCGACCTAAAAACGCCATTTTTGAGCGTTTCAGCTCATGGCATATCCGCATACAAAATATGCATTTGCATGTTTTGCCACTCCCTATTTATTATATTTTCCGGAAAACTTTTTTGTTTCGACGCGAATTTCTTTGTTTACTGTATTTCTCTTTTTTTCTTTGTTTTCACTATATTTTGTCTTTTTTGTTTCTCTTTTTTTCTTTCGTTTATTTCGAAATTTAAATTTAAACATTTTTAGAGAAAATATGAATGCGACTTCATATAATAAAGTAACGTGCTCGAGTGGGCACGAAGCGAGAAGAAGAAAAACGGCAAAGAGAAGGAACAGAACGGCAAACGCTACTGCTTCAAGATGGAAAAAAGGTTTAGTTTTTTACATACATTTAAGTTTTAATGTTAAATTTCTTTTTAGGTCTAGACGAGGATTTAGAAGAAGAGTGCGAAAATGCTATTGGGGCGGGCAATGTCCAGGTAGTGAATATGAACGAGAACAATGTCAAATTAGGCCAAGCTGTTGATAGGTATTTTAATTTATATATTTTAAGTTATATATTTTAATTTATTGTTGTCTAAGCCGAAGTGTGCTGCTGCCTCTCATAACTGCTGCTGCCGCTCAAAATCTGGTTCGTGGTATGGTAAACACTTTTAGAATGCCTGTTCCTGTTTTACAACAAATACTTGGATTATTTTCATTTAAAGAGGTTTGGAAAAAATTATTTATTTTCCTAAAACATAATTTAAATAGATTGGAATACTTCGACGTGTTCACCCTCATTGGAACGAAATTGCCGGACAACTATTAAATGCAGCACATTCTCGATTAATTCAAAGAGCCCAACATTTATTAACTGATTGTCAACAACGTGTTACTCGAGAGCCAAGAATGGATCAACCAGTTAAATTACTTAATAGATTACATGTTCATGCATTAAATCCTGTTGATGGAATGCGTGCTTTTATGGATGAAGGTTTACTATAATTTTTATTACAATAAAATAAATATAATTTCTTAAAAAGGTGTTTTATATTTTCCTTATGGTGCTTTTCTTGATCAAGCATATTCTTTACTTTCTCGAATAGATTTAATGATTGAAAATAATTATTTTGATGAAGAAAAACAAGAACAAAAGGCAGATAATTTAATGGATAAATTGGCAGAAATTACAAAAAAAGCCGTTTTGCATTATAAACAATGGATTGAACCTGAAGCTGAAAAAAGAATGAGTGAACTTTACAGAGTATCGGCACAACAACGTTTACAAGGAATTGACTCAGAAGATGGATTTACTTCAACTGGAACGGTAAGAATCGGGATTTTAGTCACTTTTGAAAAAAATTGTTTTTAGGAAGGAGAGGAAGCTGAAAACGATATAAATTTTTATTGTGGTTTGTTAAAAGAAAGAATCGCGGCAACGAATCAACAACTACAACAATATTCAACTCCTTCAACATCTAAACCTTCACATCAAATCCTTAAACCAGCAATTATAGAAAATGCCAGTACAGGTTTATCATTGTCTGCATTATTTGAAATAACCCCCTTCCATTTTTAGTTAACACCTTTTTAAAAACTTGTTTTTTTTGTGGATTTTCCTTCTCTTGGACCGTGCGTTCTTCCCACTACAATACTTCAAATTGTAAAATTTCAAGTTTTTATTGTTCCAATAATTGGTCAAAGTATTTCAACGAAATCAATGAATATTCTAATGTACAACAATTTGATTTTTCTGCAGATCCTGGTCAACATTTGGTAAATTTCCATACTTTTTGTTACAATCCGTAAAACATACTTTAGGTTTATCTCGTTAGAGATGAAATATCGATAACGGATTGGAAATATGTAGGCATAACAACAAATATTAAAAAACGTTTGTCTGATCATAAGTGTAAAGGAACCCTCAACAATCTACAAAATGCGGAGTACGGCATATTAATGCAAAATTTATCGGAAAAAAATGCAAAGTTTTTGGGTAAATATTTTACTTCTTTCCTAAAACCAAGATTTCTTAGAAGGCTGTTTGATTCTGTCTACACGTATAGGAGATAATCTAATCAATAGAAGATATGAGTTCGACAACATTGTTCAAGCCCTTAAAATATCAAAAGAAGAGGAAGTGAAAGAAAAAATAATAGAATTTCATAAAACAGCCATACATTTGTTAAAAAATAGGTGGAACAAAATGGAGTGGATAAAATTTCTTGTGTAATTAGACTTACATCAATTGATCTAAAGAAAATAAAAGGTATTTTGTGAAATATTAACTAGGTTAGGAATTGTTTAGCCGAACAATTTCTGGTATATTAAAATAAAAAACTCACGCTGTAAATGCAACCATCCGACGATAGTTTGATAACAGCGATGCTTCTTCCTCTTCGCGTTCCTGCTCATTGCTTTCTCGTCGTTCGACATTGTTGTATTGCTGAATATGTTGTTGAATTTGCAATCGTAATTGATTGGCAACTCCATCAATGATACGAACACGAGTTGTTTCAGTAAATTGAGCTATTGCCGTATTCTTCGAGATAAATTGGAAAATTTCAGAAACTTTCTTCAAAACATCATCACTCGAATATTGTTCAACTATTCGTCCAATATGTTGCATAAATTCATTAAGGCCCTAAAACCAAGTTAAATATTACAAAATAACAAGAATAAACCTGTTCATAACGTCCAGCAGAGTATATTTCTAATTCAAAATGTAAAAAGATATCAAGGAGATTTAGCACCTTTTCTTCATCAGCAATAAACTAGAATAAAATTTAAATGTTAAATGAGAGTTTACGCAAAAATAACCGTTGACAATAAACGAGGAAGAGTAGGAATAAACACTTCAGAAATTCGAACACGTTCTTCCTGCAAAAGTCGCAGATCTTTCTTCTCTGTTCCTGCACCAGGTCCTCTTCGAATTGAAACTACAATTCGGTTAGGTGGATGTTCACCGGTAGCAGCTTGTCTCACAGCTGTGCTCATTATTGCGATTAACCGACCATCGTCATTATAAGCTGAAAACGATAATATTTTTGTTAAAAATTATAAGAAATAATTTACTTTCATTATCAAGTAGAATGCCGACCATAGAACCCCAATCACGCAGCATGGGACAAATATCGATAAAAGAATCAACCAAATAAGCGGGATGTGTATGAACTCCACCATCCTTGTAAAATGCCACAAGTTGCTTAATAAGTTCAAATTGTTGTGAATGCCATTCCAACTCCATATCACTTGATGTTTGAGACGGAGCAAAAAGTTTTTCATTGACAAAACCAGCAGCAGAAACGGCCAATTGCCGATTATTACAAAATACCATTTCATAAACTAGAGCACAGTTTTGCTGCGTAAAAATTCCAGGAAATACACTAATAAAAAATGTAGAATTTTCCGAATTTAGTTTTCTTACCGATAAATTAATGTTAAAAGCTGGCAAGCTTTTGTAGCAGCCTCAATTTCAGTATCTCTCACCATACTGACAAGACGATTAATGAATTTATTTGTGAAAAGCTCTAATCGCCCAATCACCTCCACATTCTCGTACAAAGGCAACAATGTATTAAGACAGCATAATCGCACTTCTGAAACCTTTAAAACAAAAAATAAATAGTAAAAAAGTTTTCTTAGATTTACCTTGTCAGACATACACCATCCATAGTATTTAAGATAGCTATCATTCAAAAATAAAGCAGGATGGGCTTGCATCCAATTACCAAGCTCGATAAGACAAATAATACGAATATCTGGAACGATATCCCTACAATAAAAGAACCAATATGTGGTTTTAAAAATTAAAAAGAAAACCTATATCGCAGTGCAAAAACTGAACGAAACAAGTACTGTGTCATTGCAGATAATTCTTCAATTTTTGAATCAAACTGAAAAAGAATAAAATGTTAATATAAGTATTAGTCAAAAACCCTATTAGTCAAAAAATCTTATTTTTATTAAATTAAGGAAAAATAATTTAAAAAACAAACATCTGCTCGAGCCTGTAATAATAACTCCATGCGCTCATTTGCTCCCGTCTGCGATAATTTTGATTTTTCCGTTTCCACCTGCATAGAGTTCTTCTCGCGGAGACTTTCCAGATCAACAACAACATCTACAATGGCACTAGAAAGCTTCATTGCTGAAAATTTTTTAAATATAAAAATTAATCTATTCAAATATACTAACCAACAAAGGTAGCAGTGTGTCTGAAGGCACGAATAGCATTCGAAGAAAGACTAGCGAGTAATTGAATAAGACTATCCATAAGAGTAACATCAAAGAGAATATTATTTTTACAACGACAAACAAATATCTAAAATGTGTATTAATCAATTAAAAAATAAAGTTTTACAGATAATAAAAGTATTAAAAACTCACTGTAACAAAGTCTCCAAGATTACTTCGGAAGCGCTTCCACTGCGGAGAGGTCATCATTAATGGATAGTCGCAAGACTCCTCGTCGAAATATTCACTAATTCGAGTAACAATGAGACTGAAAACAAAAAATGTAAAAGTTAAAGCTATTCTAGAGGTTGTGAATAGTTATCAGAACTATCGCCACTCGTCCCAAAAATTTAAAATTTCAAGGGAAAATAAAACAAACTTCATATCCATGTTATGCACCATGTTTACATCTAATTTAGCAGAACAGCCACATGATGCGACAATTGTCTGCAAAAACTGAGCGATTGCTTGATCAGGAGAATTCTCATATTCACGCATCCATTTCTCGACAAGTGACTAAAAGAAAAAGTTTAGTAGAAAAAATCGCCTCAAAGCAGAAATTATTGGAAAAGAGCTTAAAGAACTTAAGGAAATAACACATTACCCTTTCCCCCTACTATTAGAAAAATTATTTAAAAAATAAATTACATTAGCAGATTTTCCTGATTTCAAAGCAATAAAGTAAGTGTCTTCAAATGCAGGAGTCGCAAACTTTGCAACATTTGATACTGGAACTCTCTTTGTTACTGCTACTTTCTTTGGTGTTGTTTGAACCTTAGGACGTTTTTTTGGAGGTTGTTCAGGTGGAGAATAATCTCGATCAAATGATATTTGTTTACGCGCTCTAAGTGAATAAGTATTTGTACGTATAGCCAATTCAGCAGATTGCATTTTTAATTAACAATGTTAAAATTGTAAGTCAGAAATAATATCAATTTTAATTAAGTGTAGATCAAGCTGGAAATGAAAAAAATTTATATTATACTCTATATATCCAAAGGAAGAAGTTTCAAAGGCACGACGAGTTAAAAGCGGACGACCGACGACCGCGAGAACAACAAGTTTGCACTTAAGTGTGAAATATCGATTATTGATTTTATTGGAAGTTCACTCTCAACAAGTAACACTGAACCGACCCTAATTATCTTTCTCTAACTTCACTATTTCTTTTTTATAATTTCTCTAACTTTGGAGATTAAACGTCATTTATTTTCAAAGTTGCATAATGACAATTTGATAGATTTCAAATTCTTATTATTCTCCGACTACATGTTAGGCCGGTTGGACTACATGTGAGACCCGGTTTAGGTCCGTTCGAGCCGGACGTTAATTTAGAGATAGAGAAATCAACAATCACTCGCTTTAGACTAAACCCAGTTCGCTGATAGCATAACTAAGAATCATTTTAATTTTAAAATTTTATAGCAATTTATTTACAATCTATTAGTATTTCCTTTTTACATGTAAATTAATTTCATGATTCCTCTCCTATAACGTCTTGTATTTCCACTTCTTCCTCCATTATCAATTCTACAACAAAATCCTTCTATACATTCATAGCCTGCAGGGCATTCATTGTTTGGACCACAAGGCCCAAGTTGTTCTTCTGGAGCACACGTGCCAGTATCTAAATTTAAAATTAAAATGAACTTGAATCAATCACATATTCCAAGATTTCTTCTATATATTTAAAATTTACTCACCTAATCTTCTACACTCGCCCTCTCCATCTCCAACACATGCATAGCCTAAATTTATGAAAAATATTTTAGAAATCCTAAAATATTTTACCTTCAGGGCAAAGACGTGTGCCACCTTCACCTTCTATACACGGACCGATTGGGTCCTCATTTTCAAATACCTTTTTTGAAATAAAAAAATTCAATTAAAATTTTAAAAAACCTGTGGACAACACCAATTATTTGAAATATCACATGCATAGCCCGGTTCTGAACATTGTTGATTTCGGTCACAGGGACCACTCGAATCAATTTGCGGACACGAAATTTGTGCTTGACTGCTTTGTGTACCACAGCATTGTCCATTAACTAGTGTGTAACCAGTCGGACATCTTCCTAAAATAATAAATATTTTAAAAATTTTTATTTAATTTGTTTCACCATTTACTGCTAGTCCTATAGAAACTTGACCAGGTGGACATGCTTTAAATAAATTTTTCAAAAAAATTAAAAACTAAAAAGACTGAACGATTTAATTGAGAAGGGCAACAGATATTTCCTGTTGTGCATGTATATCCTGTTCCACATCTTCCTTGAATACAAGCACCGATCGATTGACTTCTTTAAAATTAAAAAAAATTCTTAAATTAAAAGAAATTATACCCGTCTAAACATCTAGGTGTTTGTGAAGAATTTGAACAACAAAGTCCTTGATTACATGTAAACCCTTTAAAAATTAAAAAAAAATTTTTTTTAAATACTAGTTAATATTTTTATCTTTAAATTTTATACCTGCACCGCATTGGCCGTTAACGCATGCGCCTGCTGAAGATAAAAAATTAAACTTTTCGGAATTAATATTTGTAATTTATAAACTAGCCTGCTTGAGTTCCATCAGGACAAACTTTTTAAAATTTTATTTTAATATTTTTAAAATAAAAAAACCTGTAGCAGGAATCGCTGTTGCCTGTGCACAACAAACATTTGCTGGTGTTGAACAAACTTTTAAAGAAAATATTAAATTTTCAGTAATATTTTCAATTTACCAGCCGGAGACATACAACGTCCAGCAATACATTGTCCGAGAACTGGTAAACCTCCAGGGCATGCATCTTAAAAATAAAATTTTTTAAAATTTGTAAAAATATTTAAATAAATTTTTGTAAAATTAAACTAAAATATTAAATAAACACAAAATAACACAAAAATAAACATAAAAAACTAAAAAAATTCAAACAATTCTGTTGTAGAGGAGAAGGGGGTGACAACACTTGCGGCATTACACAGCATATTCCTGGTTGTAAACATTGCATAGGTGGAGCACAGAAACCTGTGGTTGAACATGAAGCAATTGGTGGACCTCCGCCTGGACAAACTTTAAAAAACAAAGGAAAGTTTAAATTAAAACAAAAATATAAAAAAACAGGAAAGCTTAACGAAAAATTTTTTAGAAAAAAAATTTTTTAATTTAATTTGTGCAATCTAATGAAAATATTTTTAAAAAATCAGTGCACTCACAATTGTTATTAATATTATTAGTTAATAAATTCATTGGTAACATGTCAGAATCAGCAGCTAAAAAGCTAAAAGGCATACACGGCAAACAATCATTACAGAAACAACCTAGACATTTAATTTTGTTATTTTAAAAGGAATTGTGTTAAAAAGTTAGTTTTTTAAAGGATTTAAATGATTTAAATAAACTATTAATTTCTAACTCCGTCCAATGCGTTTTCGTAGTCTAATTTTCTGTTGATTATTATTTTCATTTGAAATTTGCAACCATTTTGGTACACGTCTATGTTCAAGTTCTAAAAAGAAATTTTTATGAATATTTAAAATATGGGTAATCTTCGGCTTTATTGGTCATTAGAAAAATGGTATTTTTGTGTTATATGCCCCCAATTTTTATAGCTCCATTTTCTATTTTACAAATTGTAAATATTTTCCGGAATTTAATAAAATGTTTTACAAATTGTAAAATATTTTGTAAAAACTTTTCCGGAATTTAATAAAATGTGGCAAATAAAATAAATAAATAAATAAATAAATACAAATTGTAAAAACTTTTCCGGAATTTAATAAAATATTTTATAAATTGTAAAAACTTTTCCGGAATTTAATAAAATGTTTTACAAATTGTAAAACCTTTTCCGGAATTTAATAAAATGTTTTACAAATTGTAAAAACTTTTCCGGAATTTAATAAAATGTTTTACAAATTGTAAAAACTTTTCCGGAATTTAATAAAATGTTTTACAAATTGTAAAACCTTTTCCGGAATTTAATAAAATGTTTTACAAATTGTAAAACCTTTTCCGGAATTTAATAAAATGTTTTACAAATTGTAAAAACTTTTCCGGAATTTAATAAAATATTTTACAAATTGTAAATACGTTTCCGGAATTTAATAAAATATTTTACAAATTGTTAATACGTTTCCGGAATTTAATAAAATATTTTACAAATTGTAAATACGTTTCCGGAATTTAATAAAATATTTTACAAATTGTTAATACGTTTCCGGAATTTAATAAAATATTTTACAAATTGAAAAAATTTTCCGGACCATTATGTAATCTTACAATTAGAGAAATTAGACCTTTATTAAAATCATTTAATAAATTTGTTGTTGGTTCTGGTTCTGTTGGATTTTTCAAAATATTATTTTGAGGAATATTTTTAATCTCATAAAATAAAATAAGTGAAGGTTTTTGATTTGTTGATAATAATTGTTGTTGTTTTTCTTTAAACTTATTTTGATAGTTTTGAATGGTTTCTCTAGCACCCAAAAAATGAAAAACATTAAAGGTTGTATGATTTGTTGTTAAATTGTCTTGAGTTCCTTTTAAGAAATGAAAAAATATTTTTAAAATATAAATTACCCTCAGGGACATTTTCATTTTTAAAAAAGCAACAATAACCTAAAAAATTAAAAAATAATACTTAAAATAAAATTAAAAGAAACTTAACATTGTTGCAAATTCCAACATTACACGGATCATTTTTGGAGCACAAAGTATTAAGACAGATAATGTCGATATATTTTGAATCATTTATTGAATTGAAGTTTTGAATAGCTTTTTATTTTGTTAAATTATAAGAAAAATTTTTATGGAATTTTTAATAAGGTAAAAAGTGTTAGTCGGGGAAAGCGACAGTTGTGAAACATTAGTAGGTAAATTAGGGATGCCACAGGTTGAGAAAAAAGTCGGGTTTTCAAGGTTCAAAAAAAGCCAGTTTCACAAATCCGTGACAAACCTTATGTAAATAGGTAAATATTGTAATTTAAATATTAAAAATATTATTTTTCATAGTTTTGTTAAATATATTATAAGTTAGTGCTTTAGTTATCTTTAATATCACTTATTTAGCTTAAAAAGCTTCACTTTGTGAGAGCTATAATACTTAAAAGCTTGTTAATTCCCTTACTAACATAAGAAAATAAACTAACCCGGGAATTGCCTAAAATGATGATGACCCTGCTTGACAACAGTATGTGCTATACATGCCTGACGTTCAAAATCAAAATTGAATGAAGGTTGACAATGTTTTTTATGCCAGCGACGAGTCCTTTTTAAATTAAACGGAAAATTTTTTCATCAAATTTATTTTTATTTACGTTGAATCACATTGTAGAAAAGCATTCCGATCTGTATAAACAGGTTGAAGACAATTCTCGCTAACAGAGCAAAAGCCATGCTCGTGTGCATCAGAAACTAGATCTAGAAAAATAAAATTTTTATTTAAATAATTTTTTCAAATTTTACCACAAATATAGCTGCTCATTTTGGGTGAAGTTTTTCTAACTTGTTGTTGTTGTTCTGATTTTATTAGTGCTGCGGCAGAAATTCGAGGAGATGATCCAACATTTTTACTTTTAACAACCCACACACCTTCTCCCGGTAAAGATTCAGAAATTGGTTCACAACGAAGAAAAAATTGTGTTTGTTTTCCTCCAATATGAACATCTTGTGAATCAAGATGGCAAAGACCTCCAATAACTGGCATTGAGGAAGAAAATTTTGATAGTTTTTCAAGGTTATGGGTTTGCTGTATTTGACAATAAATATTTACAGATAAAAAAATGTTATTTATTAGAAAAATAATAAATAAAAAATTTAAAATTGTTGTAGAAAATATTGAGGATATTGCTCTTCTTCTTTGATTATTATTAGCTAAAATAAATAATTTAAATATTAAAAACACACAGAAGGTAAACTCCCCATAGGGTCAAGACCCTAGGGGCCAACACCAAATATTAGGTCTGCGGTTCCTTTTCCGTTATTTTGCACCAAGAATTTTCGTTTTCTGTCCCTTAATCCCAACAAATCCATCTTAAAAAATTAAACCTACTTGCTGTTAAATAACAGAATTTAGAATTAAATAGAGAATGCCACATTCTTTTTAATAATTTTAAATAATTATAATTTTTCCGTAATTTCATTTTTTGAATTTCCTCTATTAATTAGGTAGATAAACAATATTAAAGTAATTTATTGGTCAGCTGAAAGGAATAATTAAAAATAAATACAAATTAATGTCAAGGGTCACTAAATTTAACTAAAAGTACTTAAACAAACAGAAAATTCTGTCCATAGTAAATACAATTTATTTTTGAAAAAAGAAGCAATTATTTGTGCGCGAAGAAGTAAATGAAGAATTTTATTTATTCAACAATGAGAAGTAAAATGTGGACATTTAACTACCCATATATTCCCTTTAATTGAACGGTTATCCCCTTAATATAAATGAACATTGTAAATCCGTGGATTATGTTCACGTTAGTATAAAAAACAACGTGGATAAATATTTAGAATTGTTTATCGTACGATAAAAGGGAAATAAAAAATTTAATAAAAAATTTTTAAAAATTATTTTACATCTTATTTTTATTTGTTTGAAAAATTAATGACGAATTTATAATAAAAATTGAAATTAAGTATATTTATAAAAAATTCATGTCCCAGAATAAGCGATAATCCATTCTTAAAAACAGTTCATCTCCTTTCTTTCTACCTAGATTTAACTTTTTTGTCCAACATCTCAGCTACCGCAAAATAACTTTATACATATTCTTTTTCCTAAATATTTTCGTCTTAAATAATTGTATTTTTTTAAAAACTTTCAACATTCGATCTGTCCATCATTTTCGATCCTTTACATTAGTCCATTTTCTATTCACTAACTATGATCCTCTCCGCAGGTCCATCATCTTTTGCATTATTTTACTAAATCTATTTCGGGAATTAAAAATAGTTGATGAAGAAGCAAGAAGAAGAAAAAATTAAATTGAGTAAATAAATATTAATTTCTAGGGAATTAATTTTTAAATTTATTAAAAAATTTAGTAGTATGATTGGAAAATTAATAATTAAATTTAAAAAAAATTAAAAGATAAATTATCGGAAATGAAGGAAAAATTCAGCAGATTCGGTGGCTGGGATCGAACATGCAGGACTGATGTGTACAGAACTGACTATACAACCGCCTCCTGCATAGCCTTAGGAATTAAATAACTTTGTTTTACAGTGTATTGTGTGTTTCCACTAAAATTGATATCTTAAAATTCTATAGAAAAAAAGTAAATTTCGTAGTCAAATTACAAAATTGAACTTTTTTAAAGATTTTGAAATTTTCAAAAAATTAATAAATTATCAACACTTGCAGTTAAAATATTATTTGTTTAATAATTAAAATAACGTCAAATTAAATTTCCTTTTAATTTTTATCATTTTTATGGATTTAATTTAAAAAATAATTTGGGTGTGGTTCCTTCTTGTGCAACCAAAAAGGCAATATAATTTCTAAAATGTTTAAAAAATCATGCTATCTTTTATCAATTAAATAATCTTCTCAAATTATCAAATAGAATTCCTTAACCTTTAAATTTATAAAAAATATTTTTTAAAAAGGCACACCCAAATCCGCATTCTTAATATTTTATGTAGTTAATTATCAGTAAATAAAAAATAAAAAAACATCAGAATATAACTCCTCCATTATATAAAGGAGTTATTATTAGCATACAATTGCTTCAGTTCAATTCAATTAATATAAGCACTATTAAGCTCGATCCCGTTAACTAGTTTCTAAATCAGAAATCAATCTTGAAAAATGGCCAGAAGCAGGCGATGTATCCTCCCAATCTAACAGATAGTTTAAATAAAAGCTAACACCTCAGTAAGGTCAAATCCGACCCTATTCAATACACTAGCATGTCTAGCCTCTCCTAATTATTCACTTTAAAATATTTATCTATATTAATTTAAGTTTTTTAAGAAATGGGTTCAATTCGTCCAATTATTTTTGTCTGTTTAATATCAATTTGTTTTACAATTATTCTTGCCTCGGATTTAAATGAGAAGAAAGATGTCTTGCCGAAAAAAATTAATTTGGAAAATATTAATGAGAAAAAACAACAAATTGGTGAAAAAACAGAAAATGATGAGCCTGGAAGTAAGAAATTTTTGAGAAGTAAATTAAAAATGGTTACGGCTGCTCAAGTTGAAGAAATTAATAAAAGTAACAAAAAATGGAAGGTTAGTAGAATATTAAAATATTAGAGGCCAAGTTTATATATTTAAGGCTAAAGTGCACTCAAAATTCGCTGACAAAACCCCTACAGAATTAAACAAATTTCTCGGTGTCAAACCAACAATTGATGAAGAACAAAAATTAAAAAGAAATGAACAACTTAAATTATTAAAAAGAAATAGAAGAAGTATTGAAAATAATAAATTATTAGAAGAATATAAGGAATTTGATGCTAGAACCGAATGGCCTGAATGTAAAGATGTTATAGATACTATACAAGTAAACGAATATTTTTAAAATTTAAAAAATTAAAAAAAGGATCAATCTGCTTGTGGAAGCTGTTGGGCAGTTTCTTCTGCCTCTGTGATGCAAGACAGAATTTGTATATCTACTGGCGGTGAACTTAAAGTGAATATATCTTCTGAGGATATTTTATCTTGTGAAAAAACAAGCTATGGGTAATTTATAATTTTTTGAAAATAAGCTGAATTCTTTTTAAAGTTGTAATGGTGGTTATCCAGAAGAAGCTTTCAAGTTTTGGCAAGAAAAAGGTGTTTGCACAGGATCTGGTTATTCAGATCATGAAGGATGCAAACCATATCCATTTCCTCCTAATCCTGATGAGTATATGTATTCTACACCAAGGTTATATTTAAAAATAAATTTAATGTATAATTTATTTTATATATTAGATGTAAACGTCGTTGTGAAAACCGCAAATATAAAACAAAATATAACAAAGACAAACATTATGGTAAATTTAAAAATAATAAAAATATTTTTTAAATAAAAATAAAAAATTTAAGGACAAGAACCTGTGAGTCTACAAGATTCTGACGAGACTGATATAATGAAAGCAATTATTGAAGGAGGACCTGTCGAAGCTAATTTTGTTAATATATTTAAAATAAATAGTTAAAACATACTAATTTTAAATAGATTGTTTATTATGATTTCTTCTCCTACAGCGAAGGAGTTTATGAAGCTGGTGATGGTGAAGAAATGGCTGGAGGACATGCAAGTATTAATAGATTAAAAATATTTGATATATATTTTTATTCAGTACGTATTATTGGCTGGGGTCACCATAATAAAACCGATACTCCTTACTGGCTGGTAAAGTTCAAAAATTTTTTTATAAAATTTTAATTTTAAAAAAGATTGCAAACTCTTGGGGAGATCAATGGGGAGAGAATGGCTACTTCAAAATTGCTCGTGGACAAGACGAGTGTTTAATTGAAAGTTGGGGGACAAATTATGGAGATCCAGCACTTGATAACAACACACTTGCAAGTGAAGGTGCTAAGCGTGCTTCTAAACGACGTGAAGAGAAGCGTCAAAAATTAGCAAATATTGAGTCAATGAGGCAAAATTAAGAAAAATTAGATATTAATTTAAAAAATAAAATTTATGAGAATTGAACTTAAATAAAAATTAAATAAATTTTTGTAATTTTTTAAAAATCCAAAATGGTTTAAATTGGATCTATGGGGTTTTAAGAAGTGTAAAAAAGCGTGTCCTATCTTAAAAAACAGAAAAAGATCAGCCTGCCCAAAAATATAGATTTATATAAAAGTATATATCACGACAACTGACTTTAATAAAAATATCTAAAAAGCCAAGAAGAATTTGAAGGAATTAAAAATTTATTTTTAATGTTAGAAAATAATATATTTAGCTTATTTATTATTAGCAATATTTATGCATCGAAATAATTCAAAAAACAAAAATGAAATTCCTTCGACCTCAAACTCCTTTTCAACTTTCAATTCAAAATTAGAAAATAATAATTCCCAAATTTTACAAAAATATAAATTATTAAATGCTGAACAATGGTTAGAGTTGAACGAACAAATTAAAAGGATAAATCTACAAAACAATGACAATAAAAATCCTTTTGAGGAAGCAAAATCACGAGAAAGATGCCCAGAAACAATAAAAGTACTGCCAATATTGCACAAAACTAACCAACTTCCACCGACTTGTAATAAAGTTAAACAAATATTTTTTTGCCCAAAACAAAATAAGCAAAATTGTTGTCCACCTTCTCCAATATCAACAAGTGCATATGGAACGGGTGGAGGTACAACAACAGAAGATACAGGCCAAGAATCACCATCAGCTGAAATACATCATCAAGGCCGAGAGAAACCAAAGCAGATAAAAAGTGTAAGGTAAAAAACAAAAGGAAAATAACAAAAAATTTTAATTAAAAATTATTTTTTCTAAAGATATGCTTCAGATAAACCACCAATAAATTCTTCACAATCCACTTTAATCAATGCTGCTAAACCTCACTTCTACACATCGGTTTTGAATTTTTTTAAATAATTTTAGAAGTTTAATGTTAACATTAATTTTTTTAAGGCTGACCGATTAGCTGAAACATTGGCTGCTCAACAAAGAATTTTGCGACAAGAATTAACTTTAGAAAATAAACAAAGAATAACACAATCAGAACAAAATACAAAAACTGAGATTAAAAAAATAAAACAAAAACAACCAATAATGGAAATGCCTATAATAAAAAATCCTTTCATTAGAACAACCAAATTTGTGAATAATTCAACTTGTTCAACTCCTCAATTAAATTCACAAATTAAACATTTGAACACAAATGAGAATAAAACTTTAATTAATAATGAAATTTTGCAACTAAAGCCGACAAACTCAACAAAGAATTTTCAATTAATTTCAATAAAATCATCCTCAAACGAAAATAATGCTTCAACCTTTAGCCAAAGTTTTGCTCAACAATTACCCAAGCAAAATACAGTGCGACAGGAAACCCAAAATAATTTTCCTTTAACAAAAAAGACTACAAGAAAATCAAAATCCCCCTCTAAATTTACAAGAAAAATGTCCAAATCACCAAGAAAATCAAAATCACCCAAAGCTAAACAACAAGAATTAGAATGGGTGGTAAGTATAAAATAATACTCTTTTCATCATAAACTCGATTATAATTCAGATAAAACGCCGTCCCGATGGTACTCGATACGTGACAAGAAGACCAATGCGCAGTTCCAATAATTCAGCTATTATAAAAGAACGACGTGAACGTTCTGCTTTACGAGAACGCCATCAATCAAGCGCTTTAAGTACAACCACGGATGATGATGGGCAAAATACAATGCGACAAATGATAAAAGAACAAAGACGAAGAAGGAAAGGCCACACAAAAACATTTGGTAATCAACAACAACAAATAGATTCTAATTACAAACAACAACCTAATAAATTTAATATTCCAAAAAATTCTCTTCCTATAAATCAATTTCAACAACAAAAACAGCTTCAATTGGATAGCAAAACTATTAAACAAATGTTGATGAATCGACCAATTGCTTCTTTTTTCACCTCAACTACTGTTTAACATTTTTTTTCTTTTTAATTAATGAACAGAAAAAATTTTTGATTCTTACTTGATAAAGAATTTTCACCCCAAAATCTTATTTACATATGTATGTATTTACAAATAAATATTAAAAATCTACCTAATTATTCCAAAATGTCAGCATCTCCACTGTTGGCTGAACAAAATGATTCCTCTCGTTGTGAATCTCGACGATTCCGCCCACGTATTGAAGAAAGTCGAGCAAGCCGGAAACTTGTTTCAGCTTCTTTCAATTCTTCAGAACTATATAATGAATGGAAATCACGTGAGAAACGTTCAAAATCTGCATCTATTTTTAAAAATTAAATTAGTTTTTTAAATAAAAAAAATACCATCAGATTCAGCCAAAGATTTAAGTTTTCCATTAGTTTGTAAATAAGAATAAATAGTATAACGAAGTGGACGATCATTTGGACAAATCCATGCAGAATTTAATAATTTAAGACAAATTTTATCTAATCGTTGGCTTCCACTTCCTTCATTACATATTGATGTTCCACCATCTCTAAATCCTCCTCCTCCATTTGCTGTTGTAAAACGAAGAGCATCAATAACTAAAAAATAAAATAATTATTGTCATTGATTTACAAAAAAAAACCATGGCCTCGACAAAGAAGTGCTTCAGAAATTTGGTCAGTATTACCACGACGATTGAACATATCCAAAGCTATTTGATAAAGTGATGGGCATTCATCAGATAAAGAAATAAGTTCAAAAGCCTAAAATTTTTTTAAATATTTTTTAAAAAAATTTCGAAAAAAAAAATCATAAAAATTTTCAAAAATTTTCCTCCTTCTTCACTTAAAATTTCATAAAAATATTAATATACCAAAAATTTCGAATCATCAATAACTCTATATTGAAGTAATTGTTGTAAACAAGTCCACATTTTAGCATCAGCCACAATTTTAAGCAATAATTCGGGTAAATAATGATTCTATAAAATAAAAATTTAATTTAAAAGAGTTAAAATTTACTTGAATTTGTATTTTTCGTTGTTTCAAAATTAAAAAGAAATCAATCATTAAATTAGCCAAATATTTTTTATCTACTTCTGGATGTTGATAAAGTGGCTCAAAAATACAACGTAAAATACTATTGTGACTAACCAAATTTGGAGTATAAGTGAATATTAAAGAAGATTTTCCTGATAAAAAAATAAAGTTTTTATTAAAAAAGAAAAAATATTTAAGGAGAAATCTAACTTCAAAAATTAAAAAAAAAACAGCCCTTCAATTATTGAAATTCTCCTTAATATTTTCGAAAATATTTTATAAATTCAAACCTTTCTGTGGAGAACTGTTGCTTTCATTATTTATTTCTGGATTATAAAGAATTTTTCTTATAATTTGAGTAACTTTGCCAAAATTAATTTCTTTTTTGAGAATTATACGTTTTAATAAATTGAGTAAAACAGATTCAGAATTGCTTCTATTAATCAAAAATTGGATAATATTTTCCTTTAAAAAAATTATTTTGAAAAAAAATATTAAAATTAAAATACCAAATCTTTCATTTCCTCCACCGCTTTATTCAAATTTAATTTAATTTGAGTAAAAATTCCAAATTGCATATCAATTATAAAACCTTTATTTTGAATCATTTTCCAAGCAGAATTATACAAAAATGAATTAATAGAATTATTTTCATTTGAAATATTTTCAATTTTGTCTTTTCTTTCTTTTAAACATTTGACAAGATTTTCATTAATTTGTAAAGAAGAGCAATAAATAAATTGATTAGTGTTCATTTTAATATCAAAAATTAAAGTTTTATGAACATTCTTTGAAAAAAAATAATTTTAAAAATATTTACAAGGAATACTGACGAACTATTACCAGAAATTTAGTAATTTTTTGCAACATAGTGTAAAGCAGGGCCAATTTACGATAGAAAACTACTACTTTGAAGTTCCAAGACTTTTTATTTCAAACGCAATGGTGCAAAAAATTACGAAAATTTTTGGTGACAATTCGTAAGTGTCTCTTGTTAAAATTTAAAACCTTGTGATGTACTAAAATCAGATTGTCAACAATTTGAACACCAACTAATCCAAACAATTCAAATTTAATTAAATATTTAAATTTTGGTAAAGATGAGAAAGGTTGTTTTTCATCAGGAAATTCAAAAATATTTAAACCAGTAGCAAATCCATTAGAAGAATCGAATTTTAATATTAAAATACAAATATGTCCATAACTTTAAAAAGGATATTTTAAAGAGAAATTTAAAAAATACATGGATGAAATACAAACATCTCTCTCCAAAAGTCTTGGTTTAAACGCCGAATACCCAAAATCAACATTAATTGATCCAATATTTGAAATTGTATTATTCTGAAGAAAAAATTTTAACAAAAATTTGAAATTTTAATAATTAACTTGGAAACTAATTAAATGTAAAAAATTGGTGGCAACACCACAAGCGAACAAAAATAGTTTAGAATCAGGCTGAAAATAATTTAAAAAAACTAGAAAAAAAATAATAAAAAAACTTACAAAACAAATAAACCAGCTAGTAGAATGGGCAAAACTTTTGAGTAATTTCAAAGACTTTCGATGTACATTTAATGAACAAAATTCAACACCAGCATCTGTTATTATTGCTAATTGCCTATCTGCTAACCAATTAAAGCCAATAATAAATGAGGCATCTTTAAAGAATTTGGGAGGTTGTTGAAATTCGGCAGAGACATTGCCATTGGTCAAAATTAAAAAATCCTGAAAATTTTAACTTATTGTTAGAAGAAAGACGAGATGGTTAAGAAAATAGTAGAGATCGGTCTGGGTCTAAGAAAGAGGTTGGGGTAGACCAACCTCTTTCTCTCGACCCAATGTCAAGAATCTGTAAAGTATCTCAACCAAAATAAGAAGTTAAGGTCAAGGTTTTTTAAATTTCCGCTCTCTAGTAAATATAAAGAAATTTAAACGACATTTGAGGAAATTTAAAAACATTTAAAAATATTTAAAAAACAAAAACCAATATTGCATCATCCTGTTGAACAATAGCTGCATTAAAATCAGATGAAAAACAAATGGAACGAATTTGATTTCGTCTCCGAGAGCTTAAATATTTAAAATTAAAATATAACAAAAATTCAAACCGAAAAATCAAATCTGGAATTGATGTGTCCAATGAACACAAACGAAAAATTGTTTCGTTTTCCTCGTTTTGTACTGCACAACACTAAAAAATTTAATTAAAAATAAATTAAATAAAAATTACTCGTTCAGAAAGTGGATCAAAGAAAAGTCCGCTACAAATAATGTTTTTACTGCATGTGGCATCATAAAGATTTTCGTGTAAATCACTAAATGACGATCCTATTGTTAACATTTATTATATCTGAAAATTTAAAAAATTAACTTTTAAATTAAATTTGAATAAGATATAAGAAAAAAATAAAACAGAACGATAACTTTCTAAAATAACAACCACAGGATCCGAACCCCACTCTAAAAATTTGCTAATCCTCAGCTAAAACCCACTTAACCACATTAACTGTCTAATTTTCCATTGTCCAATTGTCTCGCTGACTAATCGTCGTAACGCAAGAAAAGACGATTGAGTCTCGACCGGTTGAGTCTCAGCGGTCCTAAGCCATTTTTCTACCGTAACATGAGTCCAAGAGTGAACTCCAACATTGTTAAACTCTTAACCGATTTGAATGATTTTTATCTCAATCTGAAGCTTTGGATTTGTATTTTATCTTTTTTCCTAATTGTTTCCAACCCCTCTTAGTAAATTATAATAATCATTTTTTGAAATTTATTAACTTTACTTTTTATTATTGCCACTTCACAGCAGATCAGCCTGTTACTTTAAGCCGTTTCAGTGGCACTGAAATAAATAAAAATACTGTATCTTTTTCTTTTCCGCTCTATTTCGTTCGCGTGCTATTTCTCTAAAGATTTAATGTGCAACTTCGAGAAGCCTTATCTCGAAAAAAAACTTAGAAAAAAATATTTCATCTTAGTCAAATCGTTAAACAACGTCTTATCTTTGTTTTAAAACCAAATTCATTGATTTTTTAAACGTTTAAAAAAAGTTTTAAATGGCCGAACAAACGACCTTAGAAAATGAAAAATAACAGGAAAAAATTCTTTTGAAAAAATTTATTTTAATTTAAAATGACATTAAATGTTAATTAGAAATGATATTATTAGGATTTCCCTCATATATAATCTATTTTCACCGGAAGGGTTCGAACCTTGCACATACTTCGCTTTAAGGTGGGCGCACTACCCAACTAAGCCATATTCCCGCACTGAAAGGCGAGTAACAGCCTTTGCCTATTTTGATCTGCTGTGCCACTTGTTTTACTCACCTTTATGCTTTTAAAACTGATTTAGAATTTTTTTAAATCCCAAAAACATTAAAATATTAATTATTTATAGAAAATTTCACTAAACTTTTTTTATTTGTTTCAAATGATGACAGTTGTTTAAAAATAAAAACTATTTTTTGTCAGCTATTTGACGTATCAAAAACGGAAGAATCTAAATGCGTGTGTGAATTGAGCTATATTTTATTGAATAGAAATTGATAAATCTTTACTTTAACCCTCCTTTTTTTAGTTCGAAACTTAAATTTATTTTTTTATAATTTTTGAGTTTTTTGTAATTTTTATATTTTATACGTGCGTTTTTATCAATCACATTGCATATATGTGTAGGTCAAGGTTTTTCATAAATACGCGGTCACCTTCAATTCAAATCAGGGATGTCATGGGTTATCCGACATCCGAAACTCGGACTTTTTTGACTCGAAACACAATTACCCGACTTTCTCTCTCAATCCGTGACATCCTGGATACAAATCATATTCATTACAATTAATCCTCTCCTTATGCCACTTTTTCAAACCTACCTATACGGAAACGTTCTTAACATTCTTGAATCTTTCGAAAGTCCCGTTCCCAAACCTAAACCCCCAAGATTATTTTTGCAATTCAATTTTCTCAAGCTAACATTCAAGTATTTTTTTTGTTCAAAGTTTAAATATTTTAAAATGGTATAGATTATTTATCAAATTTCATTTTTTTCATTCATCATCTTTTAGCCTTAGATTGACAGTTTTTTTTTTAAACTTTGAGAAAGACAAAAAAAATACTTTTTTTGATGACCAAACTTTTTTTTTAAATAATCACCTCTTATGAGAAAATCATCTTTAAACTGTGGCAAAAGGAAAGGGAGAGAAGGGGGATAATATTTTCTATTTAGAATATCATCCCTTCAGTCGATATATCCTTTGAATTTGTTGTGGCAGCTGATGAAAAATAATTTAAGATGATGATGATAGTAATAAAAAAACTATAAGTCTAAAGCTTCTTTTTTCTTCCGCTTTTCATATTTCCCTTACTCTTCTTTCTACATCAAAGCCTTTAAACTAAGCCTTTATATAGTTTAAGCCGCTTTGCGTTTTTTTAAACAAGACCAAAACGAGCAAGCTAAAGAAAAATAATAATATTATTTGATAAATATTTATTAAAGAAAAGTCAGAAAAAAATATTTTTTAGGATTTTTAGCTAAAGGATTTTTTCCTTTGGTAAATGAGCGCGCGGAGGTTTTCCCCCATTCGTTTTTCTACAGGTTTCCTTTTAGTTTCTGTTTTTTAAAAATACCTCCGAGATATTTGCATGAAGGCATTTCTTTTTTGCTTTTTACTACTTAATGATTTTTTAATTCCAAAAACTGTATATAATTTAAATTTTTGTCTGGAATGTTTCGACAAAATTCCTCTATTGAAATTTAAAGAAAAATTTTATTTTTAGATTATTTCCCTTATTATTTTATCAATTAATGCATAAATTTTTTGACTGGCTTCGAGGAGAGAAGATATCCAATGATTATGAGCATCATCATCGTTTGTCTAGTAAACGTTGGAAAAGTTCAGAAAAATTAAAAAACTCCAAATACAATAAAAATGGGGGAAGGAATAGTGGAGGAGATATTGGATTTGTTGAACATTTTGACAAAGTTGCCATTGCCTCAACTTCGTCTCCTGCAAATTTGTCAGCTTTGGGAAAGTAATTTTTTAAATTTTAATTTAAAAAAAATTTTATTTTTATTTAGGAATGGAACTATTAATTCAAATAATGACTCAATTCGTCACCGTAATAAAAATTCTGAAAGAGTTTCAAGCCATAATATAAATAATAATAGGTTGGAATACGGTGAAGATGATGATGTTAACTCTAAAATAACAAAAAATGTAAGCAAATTTTTTTTGCAAATTTATGGGTAAATCAGGGAAGTTACGAGGTCGGGTGGTGTTTTAAAATTTTCTTCGGATAGGGTTTCGAATCGAAAAAAGTCTGAGTTTAGGGCAGTTAGGGGATTACGAGGGAAAAAGTTGCGGTTTTGATCGGTATTTAAAAATTTTCTTCGGATAGGGTTTCGAGTAACCCGTAACATGCCTGTTATGAACTAATATTCTTTTCCAAAAGCATTTCAAAAGATTTTTAAAAACAAATTTTAGAGAATTAAACCTTCCTTCTTGTCATCATCAGTAAAACATCGAAAACCTCAAAGTGTCAAAAAGAAGCGAGGTAATGAAGCAGCAACAACTGAGGACATTCCCGACCCCTACAAGGATGGAAGTTCTGGATTAGATAAAAAATCAAAATCTGCCAATGAAATGTCTCAATCAAAAAGGCCTGGATTCCTTCAGGTTTTGAAATTTCTTTTCATCAAAAAATTCCTCTAAAATTTTAGAGAATCCGTCAAAGATTAAGTTCAAAAAGTGTAATAAACCAAGAAAAACGATTAAATGAAAGAGAAAGGAATGAACAAAATAATGATGAAGATATCAAAGTTTTGAGGCCACAATTGTTAAATGAAGAGAATAGAATGGAGGAGAAGAACCGTCAACAAAAACAAACTTTACAATATCAACGTTCAGAAGATATTGATGCTCTTTCACAGGTAATTTTTATTTATATTTTGTTAGAATGCGAACTTTTCAAAATGCCGGGCCCGGTATCCGGGGGTTTTCTTCCTTTAGGCTGACCCAGGCCGAGTCTTCCAGGCTAAAATCATGAAACCCCGGAAGATCCGAAAAATCGGATTTATCAAAATAGACGGTTTCCAGGGACCCTGGGTTCGAACTCTAATTTTATATTAAAGAATTTATTTATTTTTAAGGGTCGTTGTTCTTCCTTTGATTATTTTTCTGCAACAGCATCACCTACTGACCAAACATTATTAAATACTGAACGGGATGATTTAACACGAAAAGAAAATGAAATGCCATCACCTTTACACGGAATATTAGAAAACAAAAATAATAAAAAACAAAAAGAGGAAGAAGAAAAAAGGTTTGCAACAGCATCAGAGGCACGAGCTTATTTACGGAGACAAATTGCTTCAGAGAATGGTTGCTCTAGAGTCCGATTTGAGGGGGAAACTGAAGAAGAGGAAGCGGCATTTGATGCTGATGATGAAATTTCAAAGTGAGAAAAATTTTTAAAAAATACTAGGCCCTGTTGAAATGGGGAACATCATTTCTGCTGAAAAAACAATAGATAGAGGACCCCGACTTCCTATTGCGAATTGATATCCGTTTTCTTGTAAACTGACTTTGGGCCAAGTAATGACCAATCAACATTTCGGTTTTTTTCGAGGGGGGTTGAATATACGAGCAAGATTTTCTCTTTTGAGAAATTGTAAAATTTATTTATTTTTTAAAGTCGTTTAACAACTTCATCAACAATTAATGACTCAATTTATCAATTACAACGACCCCAATCTTCCTTGTCAACTTCAGGGACTGGGCCACATCATCAACGGGAATCTATTTATTTTACTGTTGTCCAACAACCAACACATTTATCCCCTCCATCAACCTCCCCCCAACCCGAAAGAAAATCCGTCACTGCAAAAATTAATGTTAACAAGAAAAATCGTTATAGTGGAGATTTTTCCCCTCTTGTTGGAAGTGTTAATATAATTGAACAATCAAATAAAGAAGAAGAACAACAACAAAAAATAAAAAATAGGCAACAACAATTGTCAATTCAACGTTCAAAATCTCAACAAATTTTGACTAAATTAACTCCAACAACTTCGGAATTGTTGCCTGATGATTCTAATAATAATGAAGGGCAAAACGATTCTCCACCAGTGATGCAAGGCTCGGAACCTGGGTCAATTAAAGTAAGCAGGCGGCAATTAAGATTTGTTATACCTCAGGTTTTGATATTTTCTTTTAATTTAAAAATAAATTCTGAGTCCAAAAATATCAGTCCGTTAAGGCAATATTGTCCCAATACCAAAATCCCAATACCACCTCACAAAAGATGCACAGAAACAATGTGGATTGTTAAAAACCTTTCACTTCCTAGGACCTTTCCACATCCGCTCTTTAAAATTTTGTCGTTTGGTATTAGGCGTGTTCCGGTCCCCAAGTGCGTATCCTTGAATTTTTGCTAACCTTTAGCATTTCTTTTTTATTAAAATTCTTTACAAAAGTATTTATAAATAATATGTAGGTATGTATTATATTGAAAAAAGAATGCGAAAATATTTGAAGAAATTTAATATTTTTTTAATTGATGTGTGAGAATTGACAAATAAATTGGACAAATAAATATTTGTTTTATTTGTTAATACGTAGAAGAACAAATAAATTAAAGGAAAAAATTTCTTTTATTAAAAAAATTTATTTTAAGGTATCCATCTGTTCAGCTGATCGTTCATCAACTGCTGAACCTGTCGAATTATTAGAAAAGGAATCAAATAATCAACAACAACAACAAAATAGCCAACAACAAAAACCAGAAGTAAACAATTCTGTTGTTTCTACTATATTACCTCCACTTTTACCTCAAATGTTTGGAGGGATTGGTGTTGCTCCTGAATGTGAGGAGGAATTGAAACGAGCACTTTCTGAAATGGATAGAAAGGAATTAACTTTGGCTCAGAGAAGACAAAGCAATTTAGATGTATTTTTTGCTTAATTTTATAAAAATATTTTCGTGGCTCCCGTCTTTGTGGACTTTTCCCCCTTTTTCCAGTTTTCTCCGCTCCAAAATTCGATAACTTTGAAGCCTATAAAATTTTAATTTCGGGGTTAGGGCCAAAAAAGCCAAAAGTTGACAATAGGTTATTAACGTCCATGCTCTATAAGACTTTGCTTTTCAGTCAGTTTATTTGCGTATTTTTCTTCCCAAACGCCCAATCACATCACAATTGCCAAACAATTAAAAAATGTCTTTTTGTTTTTTAGGTAATCCATCAAGCAAGTGGTCGACGTACATCGTATATTTATTTATTTTCTTTTTCAAATTAAATAAAAATATTTTTTCAGGACAACACTAATTCCATTAACACCTGCACAAATTCATTTAATTCGCTCTTTGTGGCGTCAGGTTATTTTTTAAATTAAAAAAATAAATTTTAAAAATAATATTTTAAAGGTTTACCTTAGCAAAGGCCCAACTGTTATTGGTTCTCAAATAAGTCATCGGTTATTCTTTAAAGAGCCTCAAATTCGTGAGCAGTTTAGAAGAGTAAGAGAAGAATTTTTTAATATTTTTAATTTTATTTTTTTAAGTGTCCCCTTCCTCATCAATATGTTAATCACGATAGTTTTTCAAAGGCACATTGTCGGCATATTTCTGAGCTTGTTGATCAGGCAGTTTTATTTTTTTTAAATGTCTCCTTTTGGGTGGGTCGGGTCAACTCCCTAGTAGTCAACTGACCCTGGAGGTCAACTCGTATTTGGACGGATTTGGGGGACTCAGGGTTGATAACTTGAGAGCTTTAAGGCAGGAACCATATTACTATTTTTATTTAATAGGTAGTTGAAAGCTTGGATGATTTGGAAAATGTTAGTGCAATGCTTGAACGTATAGGTAAAAATTATAATTTAAAATAAAAATTAAAAAAATTTTTATTTAAAGGACGAGCTCATGCACGCATATCTGGTGGTCAATTATCAAGTAATTACATAAATTTAAATTATTTTTAAAAATATTTTTATAGGCAAAATTTGGAATTCTGTCGCCGAAACTTTTATTGACTGTACTCTTGAATGGGGGGATAGACGGTAAATTTTTTTAGAAATTCTGAAAATTTATTTTGAATTTTAATTAAGAGCTCGCAGCGAAACTGTCCGAAAGGTTTTAAAATTAAATTTTAAAAATTTTAAAAACAAATTTTTTTAATTTAAGGCATGGGCTCTTATTATTGCCTTTATGATTGAACGTATTAAATATGGACATTTGGAAGAGGTTTTTTTTTATTTTTTCAAAGTTTATTTAATTTTAAATTATTTTTTAGAGAAGACAAATAACAGCAATTCGCTCTACAATAGCCTCGTTGGAACGATTCGCTGTTGGAGGAGGGGGCGAAGGTGGTATTAGTTGTTCCGCCTCTGCAACACCTCTTTCTACTCCTATAGCAACCCAAAGAAAAAATTCTGGTAATGAAGCATTAAATGACAGTCATCTACCTGTTCCTGTTTGTCCAATTAGAAGAGTTTCTGCTTCTACAACTTTTGTAAATTTTATGATTTTGGGGGAAGACTTGCCTGGAGGAAATAGGAAGAAAGTCCTCAATCTTGACGGTCCTGGGAAATCCCTGGATAATTCAAACTATTTTACCTATTTATTTTTGACTTAAAGAATAACAATACAACGCCTTCGTCTTCCTTAAAACAACAAAACAATAGAAACAGCACAATAAGTGCAGTTGTTACCAGTACAATTGCGTCAATTGCCTCTCCAGTTGCAAGCAGAAGAAAAGTTGCTACAACAGCGGTATAAATATTTTTTAAGAAAATTTTTTCTCAATTTTAATTAAGGCCCCTTTAAATTCACGTTCCCCAAAAGCCCAACAATCTCCAACTAAAACACGAACAAAAGCAATGACAACTGCTCGAACAGTAGGTGGACGTTCATCTTCTGATGTACAAGAGAGGAGATTAGCAGAAGGAAAAACAACAACAACAACCACAAATCCTTCTTCAGTCAGAAGCAAAGGAAGAAATGAAGAAAAGAATGTTTCTGGTAAACATACAAATGTTTAAAAAATGTTTTTTTGGAAAATTTTAAAAGGTTTCATTTTTTTAATCTTATGTATAATATGTAAATAAATTTAATAATAATAATTTTTATTTTATATTCAGTGATCTTTTACAAATTTAATTCAAATAAATATTTAAAAAAAATTATATCCTTTTTTTTTAGTAAAATTGAATTTCATACCCTCTTTTTTCATTCCTTCCTCGATGGCGATAAAAACCTACCACAAAATCTGACATCCCTATGTTAACAATACCGGACCATAGGTTCTAAAAAATGGAGCTGGGTACTTTTCGTAAGGTTTGTAGCATATTTTAAGTTTGACCATTTTAGTAGTTTAAGGAAGGGAAAAAAGGGGTATGAAATTCAATAATCTTTTCTACAAAAACAATAAAATTATTAACAACTTATATCTACCTATTTTTCAACAAAAGAATTCTTGAGGTTGAGGAGCATCATTTAATGATTCACATTCTGCAAATTTAGTTTCCTTGTTATTATACTTCTTTGAGGTATTTTTTTCTGCTTCATAATTATTTGATAAAATTGGAATTAGAGGTGGAACAGGTATAAAATTGCTATTATTTTCATTAGTTTTGTAAACTCCATCAGGCCTTCTTTGAATATAAACAAGAAAAATAAAAAGTGTTAAAAGAATAAATAAAGCACTTAAAAGGCCAATAATTGCTGAAAAAATAATTTTTTGAATATAAAATAAAATTTTAAAAATTACGTGTTATAAACAATAATTTCTTTTGACTTTTAACAAAACTTGATAAATGGATTTCGTTATAATAGTCGTCGGAATTTAATGAGTTTATTTTTTGTTGTTCATTTCTGTGTTGTTCGCTTGAAAAAAAATTTTTAATTTAAAAAATTTGGTACTCTTGTGGTATATGCCCCCATTTTTTATAACCCTCATTTCCTTCTTCTCTCCTCTTTGCCTTCTTTTCTATTTTCTCTTTAGGATTACAAAATGGTCAAAGGATTAATGGCAAGGATTAGATACTTTTATAAAAAAGCGAAAGATATACAGCTTCAGTTTTTCGGTTTTTATAAATTGTAAAGCTTTTCCGGAATTTAATAAAATGTTTTATAAATTGTAAAAACTTTTCCGGAATTTAATAATATATTTTACAAATTGTAAAAACTTTTCCGGAATTTAATAATATATTTTACAAATTGTAAAAACTTTTCCGGAATTTAATAAAATGTTTTACAAATTGTAAAAACTTTTCCGGAATTTAATAAAATGTTTTACAAATTGTAAAAACTTTTCCGGAATTAAATAGAATATTTTACAAATTGTAAAAACTTTTCCGGAATTTAATAAAATGTTTTACAAATTGTAAAAACTTTTCCGGAATTAATTAGAATATTTTAAAAATTGTAAAAACTTTTCCGGAATTTAATAAAATGTTTTACAAATTGTAAAAACTTTTCCGGAATTTAATAAAATGTTTTACAAATTGTAAAAATTTTCCGGAATTTTATAAAATGTTTTACAAATTGTAAAAACTTTTCCGGAATTTAATAAAATGTTTTACAAATTGTAAAAACTTTTCCGGAATTAAATAGAATATTTTAAAAATTGTAAAAACTTTTCCGGAATTTAATAAAATGTTTTACAAATTGTAAAAACTTTTCCGGAATTTAATAAAATGTTTTACAAATTGTAAAAACTTTTCCGGAATTTAATAAAATGTTTTACAAATTGTAAAAACTTTTCCGGAATTTAATAAAATGTTTTACAAATTGTAAAAACTTTTCCGGAATTTAATAAAATATTTTACAAATTGTAAAAACTTTTCCGGAATTTAATAAAATATTTACAATTTGTAAAATCCGAAAAACTAACGCTGTTGGAGGCTATAAAAAATGGGGGTATATACTATAATACAAGAGTACCAAAAATTTTCAAAAAATTTTCTTACATTTTATCAAAAGGACAACTTCCAAAATTAATTTTTCCAGAATATAAAAGCCTTGATTCTTTCGGATTTTTCAAAGGAAAAGCATTACCAATCATTAAACGTGAAATACATCCTTTAAATTTTTGTTTATCAGCAAAATTCCAAACATTAAGTAAAGAAAAGAAGGTAAAATTTCCCAATAATGAAAAGGCAATTTCTCCATTTATCTTTAATTAATTAATTCAATTAAATCTTAACAAAAATTTAATACATTTAAAAAGAATCCTGTTGAATTTGCACAAAAACGAATATCTTTGTTTTTATTATCTGTTATTCTAATTTTATCATAAGTTACATTTTGTGTGAAGAAAAATCTGTAAAAAATAAAAATTTTTATTAAAAAATTTTTTTCAAAGTTACCCATCAAATATAAACGCATTTAAATGACCTAAAATAAAAATTAGTTGTTTTCTTAATAAACTTAATTTTTTTTACCTTCTTTATCAATACTTAAATTGAAACGAGATTCAGCAAATAACGCATTCGCTCTTATTAAATTAATAATTCCATTATTATTAATATTTGAAGTTTGTACATTAATTCTAAAACAATTATTAACTTGACCAGGATGTTGCCAAGCAATGCGTAATTCTGAACCAGTAGATAACCACATACCAACTTCTATTGAAAAAATTTTTTTTAGTTTATGGTTGTAGGCGACTAAAACTCAAAAACGAAAACCGGATTTTAAAAATTTAGATTAACCGAAAACTCGTGAATATTGTGGTTAATAACCGGTCTCCAACAACCCTCGTTATAAGGAAAAAAATTTAAAAAATTTTTTTATTAACCTTCCTCACATGTATCACCAGCAAATGGAGTTAAAGAACAATTACCTTTTTAATAAAAATATTTTTTAATTAAAATTTGTTAAAATATACATTTAAATCCATCATATAATTCAACACAAATTCCTTCATTTTGACATTTTTCATTATTATTTGCTTTGATATTACAAGCCCCCCATTCACCTAATTGAATTCCATTTCCCAAAACTTTTTTTGCCAATTGTCCCAACCGAATAGATTCTCCATTTAAAATAAAATGCTTCAATTGTCCAGCAAAACCAGAACGATCAGGAATATAAGTACGCGAACCAATAATTAAAATTGAAGTTTTTGGTAAAATAAAAAAATCTTTCAAAATTTTTTCTTTTAAATCAACACGTAAAATTTGTTTTTGTTCATCTATTTCCCATGATATTAAATGCCACCTTAAAAAATAATTTTTTCAGTAAAACTTTTTCCACCAATGTAAGTGGTCAGAAAAATAGAAAGGAAAAAAGGGAGCATAAACCGATGTACTACGCTTAATTTTATTTAAAAAGATTTACCGATTATCATCAACACGAACATCACTAATTATTTCATTTATTAATCCAGCATTAACTATTTGTCCAACAAGATGTCCATCTCTTACAGAAAGTTGAAACCAACGTTCTTGATTTGTTGAAGTAAAAGTAAATATAGTAAGGCTTGGATGTGTTAATTTAATCTTAAAAAAATAGTTTTTTGAAAAAAGAAATTAAAAAAAAACCTGAATTGAAGTATAAAATGTTCTAGCATTATTAAAATTTAATGAAGTAAGTAATCGTTGATTTCTATCAGTAAATGTTATTGTTTCAGAAATATCTTTTATTAAATTTTTTTTAGTTAAAGAAATTTTTATTTACATCTTCCAGAACATTCTAAAGGGCCAATGCTTACATTTGCTAAGGATTGACTGCTTGTTCCCCCTCCAATAAATAATTGAAGAATTGGAAGTAATTGAATATGGGAATTAATTCCTTCGTCTAAAGAAGCTTCTCCACTGTCACAATTACATTTAAAGCTTAAAAAATTTTATATTTTAACACTTTAAAAAATTTTTTTACTTTAATAAGCAAGAATCATTTAATGCACACGGACACATTCGAGAAAAAGGAGGAGCATCACCCCATTGAAGACCTCAAAAAATATTTTAATGATTTTTAACAAAGGAAAAGAAACCTTGTTGTCCATTACGTGTTGTATACCAAACAGATGGGCGTTTATTATCTTCACCAGAATAAGTCATTAATCGTTGATCGTTGGAACATTGAAAACTCATTTTTTGTTCACAATGTTCAAACGACGAAATAAAATTATCCAATTCATCCATATCTAATCCATAATTGAGAATATGACGAACAGAACCAGGCTCAGAAATACCTGGTTAAAATTATTTTTTAATCTTAAAAATTTGTAAAATAAACATTTTTTTACCCCGTACTTGAATTCCAGTTTTTGGAGCATCATTATTTAAAATAGTAAAGTATTCAATATTTTCTTTTTGAGATTTTTCTTTAAAATTTTTTTTTGGATAAACTAATTTTTAAAAAACCTCCTTTTTTCTTTAAATTATTTATTTTTTTACATTCAACATTGAAGGGTTTTAATGAACCACCGCCGTCCAAGTCAATCATTAATAATTGTTTATTAATTCTTTTAGCAATATTTTTTGAAGTATTTAAAGCAAAATATTGTTCGCATGAAGATGGTAATTTAGCTATAAATATGTATATAAACTAGATTATTAAAGTTTATTTTCGTTTATACCCCTTAAGTCCGCAGCAGGAATGTCACTGGCTACCCATCGAGACTTGACCCACGAACTTTTCCTCGACCCAAAAAACCCGAAATTCCTTCTTAATCACTTTAACTGATCTGTCTGACAATGAGACCAAACTTTTTTACTAGTTTGACCTGCGGACTTCCCCTTATTGCTAGCATAAAGAAAAAAAATCCCAAAATAAATTTAAAAAAAACTAAACAAATTTGGCAAAATCTTCCACTATAATTATTTGAACATTTACAATTAAATGTATAAAAATTATTTTGTATACATTTTCCTCCATTCATACACGGATTTGGTGAACATCTTTAAATTAAAATTTTAAAATATTTCTTATTTAAAATACAAACTTTTGAATTAAAGAACATTCATCTCGCTTGTATTCATTTCCAATTAATATTCCCTAAAAATAAAATTAAAAAAAAATCAGTATAAAAAATATAATACTTGATTTAAGTCAATTGTTGTAGAACGATAACAACCAGAAGCTGAGAGTAAAAATGTTTGCATTCCTAAAAATTTCAAAAAAAAAAATGGAAAAAATTTTTTCTTTACCTGCACCAATTTGCCTAGCCTGATTTCCTTGTACCCAAAAAATTGTTTTACTGTTCAAAACTAAATCTAATGAATCTGCTCGCAATTTTAATACTAAAGAATGCCATCCTGGAGGTCCAATTGAAAAAACTAAAATTTTAAATTAAAAATTTTCAAAATTCACATACTTTTAGGTTTATCTCCTTCAAATCCGGTGTTTATACTAATTATATAATTTGGTAACAATTCTTCTTCTTGTTCAATTTCTTCTTTTTCTTCAATTTTTATTTGTAAAAGACTAGAATTTTCATTATCCAAAATTGTAAGTAAAGGACCAGAATTTGGAATTATATAAAAATCTAATGAAAACGGTAGAAATGTATATGGAATTTGTAGACTAGTAGATAATCCAAGAGAAAAAAGTTGTGGTTGAGGGATCTAGAAAATTAAATTTAAAATTAATGGGGGCAAATGTAAAATTTTGCCCATGGGGAAAGTAACTAGAATATTCGGCAAAATTTCGACATAAATCCCATACTACGATTCCGATAAACAATGTCATTTAACGCGAGCTTACATGAGTTCCATATTTTATTTATCATTAAAAAAATAAAACCATTACTTTACATTCTTTCAATTCTACAGGCGCAGAGGATAATAAATCAACATTATTTAGCATTATTCTAGCAAAACAACCATGAAATCCATTTTCTATATTTAATCCATTAATCTAGATAATTTAAAAAATACAATTAAAAAATATATAAATAAACCTTTTCAACAACAAATTCTTCATTTCTTCCACCAATTTCTATCTAAATTCAAATCTTTTTAATTTAAAAATTAATTAGTCCATACTTCGGAATTTAAATCTAATTTGCGATAAAGGCCACCAATTTCTGTTGTATTTATTAAAATTGAATCTACAAACAATTCTACACTATCAAAATGATGTAACCTTAATATAAAGACTAATAATTTTAAAAAATTGTAGATTTAAAAAAAAATTTGAGAAATTTTATCCGAAAATATTGAAATTAAAAAGAATCTTTTGCTTACCAACGCATCTCGTGCCATTCCTAAATAATTTAAAAAAATGAATATTTTCTCAAAAATTTACTCCATCATTTAAAGCCAATCCTTCAATAAGTACATTTCTTTGATTTGCACCAAAATCAAAATATATTTCTAAACGGCCAACTTAAAAATTTAAATAATAAGTTTAAAAAAAATAAAAATTACAAGATAGCTGAACGATTAAGTGATCACCATGATTAGCCATTGAATAAAATAAAAGACCTAAAATTAAAATTTTTAAATTGAAAAATGGGTTAACCCAAAAGATCAATTTACCGTAAATGCTCTAACATTAGCCCTTTCTAATAGACGCCCATTCAAAGAGACTCATCAAAAAATAGAAGCCCACTCTCTAATAGTTTCTTTCTAATATATAGGTCAACTCAAGATGATCTAGTGAAAAATAGATGCTCAGGGCTTATATTAAGGCATCTAGAGTGAATGAAAAAATAATACTTAAAAAAATAAACCATTTTCAAAAGTTTTAAAATTAATAATCAATTCATTTTCATAAGCAGCAGAAGCAATTCCTAAAAGCATTGGATTAACCGCAAAAGGATTGCTAATTGAAAATGGCTTTGAATTTTGTGCTTTGCAGGCATTAACAAAAATAATTGGGGAATGTTGTTGTTGTTGAATTGTTTTATTTTTATTTAAATTAATTGAAATTAAATGAATTATGTTGACTAATATTTCAGGTTGTGACCATTCCAAATTATGTGCAGAATTACTTGAATAAATTACCTAAAAAGAGGAACTAAACTTTCTGTTAGAAATTAATATTGGATGAAAATATCCAGAGGTGTGTCAGGCCAGGATCGGAGGTTCCGGGGCTGGTAGACAGGAAACCGGGTATTTTGATAAAAATAAGGTTTCTCGAGGTTGCCGGATTCTGAAACGAAAATACAGGCCTGGGTCTGTTTGAAAGCTGAAAAAACTCGGATACCATGCATCGAATCCTAGGTTTCAGACAAATTATTTTTAATTTAAAAAATATACGTACATGTTTTTCGCCATTTGACATTTTTAAAAAATTCCTATCATCTCCCGTCTCAATTTTATAATTTTTAATCCTCCTTTCAGCAATATCTTCATCTATATAATGTGCCAAATAAAATGCATCTGGAGCCGAAACCTTCAAAAAATTTTTTTTTAATTTTTAAAAAATCAAGTCAAACAAACTATGCCAATTCGTTTAATAATATGTAGAGAACCAAAATTAATTTGTAAATTTTTGTATTGTTTTTCAAAACAATTTTGTTGTTGTTTTTGTGCATTTAAACATTCTAATAAAAATAACAATTTGTAATAATTAAATAAAAATAAATTTAATTTATTCCGTCTTCTAAAACATTTCCAGAGGAAAAAGTTGTTGCCAAAAATTAAGTAAAGCATATTTGAAGATTAGTAGAATTAATCATTTTTATTGAAAAAAATTGAAGATAATAAAAATTTTAGAAGAATAAAAAATATTTAATGGTAAAAATACTAAAAAAAAATTTAAAATTAAGAAAAATTAAAAATAAACACCCCATTTATTCGCAAGCTAAAAATGGTCAAAGTTGGAGGCGGCGAGACGCTTTTGCAAAACTCAAGGTTTGTGCTCGGGGTTCTGCGCCACACGTCTCGCTGGAGTCAACGGCTCCTAGATTTTGTACGCAAAACCATAGGCCTACTCATAATGCGAATAAATGGGGTGGGCAATTAAAACAAAAAATTTTCCGAAAGCAAAATTTAATTGCGCATAACGGGAAATAAAAAAAAGTTTTGCATTAAATATCAACATTTTGGAGAGAAAAGCATTTCGATTAATTTAGAGGGAAAAGGTTCGATTTTTTCTGCTGCTTTTTAAGTAAAAGAGGGGGTTTAAATATAATGGATGGCACTCTTGTATATATTTTCCCCCTAGCATCTGCTCTCTGCTTTTTGTAATTCTATTTTTAAAATAAATATATTTTTATTTTTAGTCCCTCAGAATTATTTGCTAATAGAAAAATGACAGAAAATAAATATAAAACCATCAATAAACCCCTCACAATTTTTGGTAATTTTTAAGTTTTACCAGCTGTAAGTTGAGTGAATAAATATATGAGAAGAGTAAATTATTTCTCTTTTTGAATAAAAAAATATGAGATATTAAAAATGGGTCGAATTTGGATAAATGTACGGATAAATTACTATTTTTAGTTATTATTACTAGTTTTTATTTCCCTTAGGGGCGTGCAAAATTATGCTTAAAAATTGTTTGAAATTGAGTGAATACCTAAATAAATATAATTGTATCGTGGAAAAATAAAAAATATGCTAAATTATTTTTTGAAGGATGAGGAAGAATTTTTAAATTAAATGAAAAACTTAAAAAAATTAAAAAGGAAGTTAAACAATAGGCAAAAACGAGAACTTATGTTTGTGTTCTTGCGAATAAACGGTCTGCGCTTAAATGGCCTTTGAATGTGCGCTTAAACGGTCTGCGCTTAAATGGCCTTTGAATGTGCGCTTAAACGGTCTGCGCTTAAATGGCCTTCGCGTTTAAGTGTCCATCTGTCCCGTTTAATCGCCCTTTTCCAACTAGAATTTACAACGTGGATTTTTTGTTTTTAAAGGTTTCTTAATGTTTTTTAATATCATCATATTTTTCTAAAGAATTTAAGACTTAATTATGGCAACTACTACAATTAAGGATGAAAATTCTGTTATTTCTTCTTCAGAAAATCCTCACCAGTTAAATGGTGATTTAACAGAAACTCCAACACAGCAAATAAAAACAACAACTACTGAAGAATCAAAAGAAGAAATTGTCTTTCAAAAAAATAATTTACTTCAAAAACTTCGTGATTTATTTAAAAATGAAGAAATTTTGGGACAAAAGGAACATATTGATGCTTATATTTTGCCTAGAACGGATGCACATAATGTAAGAGTAGTGGGGCTGGGGTTGGAATTAAATAAATTTATTTTTTGTAGAATGAATATATTAATGAAAGGGATCAGCGTGTAAAATTTATTAGCGGATTTTCTGGTTCTAATGCATGGGTTATTGTTACAAAGGAAAATGCACTTTTATGGACTGATGGACGTTATTATATTCAGGTTATTTATTTTTCTTATCAGAAATAAATTTTGTTTGAAAATAAAATTTTTTTGACAGTCCTGCGGTTTCGTGCCCCTACCAAAAATAATGTTAAAAATTCTTAAACGCATTTTAAGGGTAATTTTTCATGATTCTGAACTCATGATATGAGGTACACACATCAGACAGGCGGATAAAAAATCAGCTAAAAAATCTGAGTTCAGATTCAAATTTATTTTTGTTAGGGGACAAAACCCGAAGGATTGCCAACTTTTTAATAAACGTATTTTAAAATAAATTATTCTTTAAAGGCAAAATCAGAACTTTACGAAGGATGGACATTAATGAAATTGACTGGGCCAGATTCTATTATGCCTAGTGATTGGATTATCCAAAATTTAGAAAATGGTTCTAAAATTGGTTTTGACCCAAAATTATTTAATTTTGGTTTGAAAAAAATTATTTTTTGATTTTTAATATTTTCTTATAGAAAGAGCAAAAAATTTTAACAAAAAATTAAAAAATTATGGAATTATTTGTACTCCAATCATTAAAAATTTGGTTGATATTTTATGGATAGACAGACCAACAGAATTGTTACAAAAATTATTTATCCTTCCAATTGAAGAATGCGGCGAAGAAATTAATTCAAAATTGGGTAGAATAAGGGAAGAAATGAAAAAACAGAAATGTGATTCTCTTCTGCTGAGTTGTTTGGATGATATTGCTTGCAAGTTTTTTTTAATTTGTTTGACATTTTTGGAAGGTGACAAATAGTCCCTGCTAGGGGTGCCTTTTCGTCTCTGGTCGAATTTTCGTTTCTGTTCTGGTGCACTCCTGGTCCCTCCCCGTAAGCTCGTCAAGGGTATTTTTGTCTCGAAAAACCTCAAGTATTTAAAAATTAATTTTTAAGGGTTATTCAATTTGCGTGGATCGGACATTCCTTATGTTCCTGTTTTTTATTCATATGCAATTATTATGGAAATTAATAAGGTTAATTTAATTTTTAAAAATAAATTTAAAATTTTTAGACTTTTTTATTTGTTGATATGCGTAAAATAACTCCAGAAATTTCAAATTATTTGAAAAATAATAATGTGGAAATATTTGATTATCAAAATGTTGTTAGTTTTTTGAAGGAATATCATGAAACAAGCAAAAATGAATTTAATACAAAAATGCATAAGGTTTTTTAATAAAAATTAGTGGAGCCAGTGAGTAGGTAATTTGACACCTAAAAGGGCGAAACGCGGCACGCCCATGTAGCATACCTCGTTTTAGTCCCTTGAAATCATATCCTGGTTATACCCTTGATCTCAATTTGTTTTTTAAGATTTGGCTTTCAAAATCTATAAATTATGAAATTGGTTATTTTTTTGATAAAAAATATTATTATCTGGCTGATTCTCCAGTTAGCAAAATGAGAACAATTAAAAATTTGGTTGAATTGAATGGAATGAGAAATAGCCATGTAAAATAAATTTTTATTTATTTAATTTAATATTTTTAAAGATTAGAGATTCTGCTGCTCTTATTAAATTTTTGTATTGGATAAATAATGAAATTTCATTGGGTCATTTGGTTGATGAAATTAGGGCAGCACGTCAAATTAATTATTATAGAGAACAATTGGATAAATTTGTATCGCTTAGTTTTGAGGTTTTTTTTAAATTTTCTTCCTTTTCCAAATTTTTTTTTTTAATTTTAGACAATCTCTGCTGTAGATGAGAATGCAGCTTTACCACATTATCATGTTAACGAGAATAACGATAAAAAATTTATCAAAGATGAGAGTGTTTATTTATTTGATTCTGGTGGTCAATATTAGTTAGTAGAATTTTTTTTAATTTTCATTTGAAAAAAAATTTCTTTAGTGATGGAACAACAGACGTAACAAGAACAATATGTTTCTCAAAAAATCCAACTCAACATTTTTGTCAAATGTTTACCCTCGTTTTACGTTCCCATATAGATTGTGCTTGTACTAAATTTCCGTCAGAAACGTCTCCAGCTGTGTTTGATGGAATTACAAGATTACCGCTTTGGTCTAATGGATATAATTTTGCTCATAATGTTGGGCATGGAGTTGGACATTTTTTAAATGTACATGAAATTCCGCGTTAGTAAATTTTTTAATTGAAAAAATTCTTTTTTTTAAGCGTGTTTAGGTTCCACAGAGAAATTTGGTCTTAAAAAGGGAAATGTTGTTACAATTGAACCTGGGTATTATGAAGAAAATAATTTTGGAATTCGTATTGAAAATTGTTATGAAATTGTTGAAGCTAAAAATTTACAGTCTGGCTCAAAAAATTTTTTGGAATTTGAAGTACTTACTTTTGTGCCTATACAAAAAAATTTAATTGTTCGAGAATTGCTGGCACAAAAACATGTAAAATTTTTTTATTTTGTTATAAATGCTATAGCCTAGTTTGACTTTAGATTAAGAAAAGTTTTTTTAGATTGATTGGTTAAATAATTATCACAATAAATGCTTCAGCGTTGTTGGACGTTTTCTACAAGAGAAAGGAATGCAGGTCTAATCTTTAATAAAATTAAGAATAATCTTTTTATAATTTCAAGGAAGAATATAATTTCTTGGCAGAAGCATGTACTCCATATTAACTTATTTTTGAAAACGTTTTGGGCGGTAATGTTGGGTTTAATTTACAATAATAATGCTTGTTTGGGAGTGCCTTGCATAATTAATTTACTTCATACACTGTGATAAGTAGTAAACTTTATATTGTAATAAATTAATTTATTAGTAAGTTTTGCCTTAAAAGAATTGAAATTATTTTTGGATAGATAATAAATATAATTAGAGTATTTTTTCAATAAATTAAGGAGGAAGTATATGGTCAGTAGCGCTCTGCCACGGCACCTTTTCCACTGTTTGATATTTCGGCAGATTTTAGGGATTTAGTATTCTGGTATTACGGCTTCATACCAGTTGATCCTAAAAAGTTAAAAGAGATTCCTTACAAAATTTATTCAAAAAATCTTTTTTAATACATTGCCGAGTGGAATGAAAAATGCCAATTAACGAAAATCAATGTATTCAAATCAGTGTATTTTTTCTCTTTTTCCATCTCTAACGTCGAGCACGTTTTTCACCTACAACAAAATCCATTGGAGCTGGGCCTAAAAGAGAAGATGGTGGCGGAGGAATACGCATTCCACCATGTTGTCCCCCAGGTGGCGACATTCGCGGCATGCCGCCCATCATAAAATTAGCTAATGGATTAGGTCCTGCAGGCGGATTTCGATCCAGAAGATTCATATTGGCCGGACTTTGTTGTTTTCGATCCAACGGCCCACCACTGGGTGCTCCTCCTTTTCTGTCGAGAACATTAATTGGTGGCGGCGGAAACGGCAAACCAGCACCAGGCGGCATTGGTGGCCCTCCTCGTTGACCTTGCCCACGATTAAGACTATTATTCATCATAACAGGATCCAAATTCTGGAGTAATTTGCGAACTTCTGGTCCTGAAATTGTAAAAATGTAAATATCAGAGATTTTATTATTTTTACCCAAACTTTGCTGTCCATGTCCATTCATACCAGGCGGTGGTCGATTCGGTGGTCCTCCTCCAAACGGAATAGGTGGTGGCGGTTGTCTACCAAGTGGACCATCATGTGGTGGAGGTCTCCAGCCGTCATCTCCTCCTCCTCCCGGACCGCCAATAAATTGATGTCGACGCTCCTCGCGTTGTCGACGAGCTGCTTCAAGACGTTCAAGTTCTTCCTGACGACGTTGTAATTCTTCAAAAACAATTATTTAAAATATCAAAGTAAAAAAATTAACCTTCTCGTAACATATCAGCTTTGTAATCTTCATAGGCCAATTCCATATCAGCATCCAAATTTCGACGTTGCTCCCGTAACTCTGCTTCCAATTCCAAACGACGCTTATTCTCATATTCATATAATTCCTTCCAGCGACGGCCATACATATACTCAAAACTGTTCATTGTAGCAAAACGTGGACCAACTTCTCGTTCCCTGCATTTTAGAGTAAATAGAATTCAAAAAATAATAGAAACAAACTTGACAAGTTGATGTGTTTTTGAAATCATTTTTTCAGACAATCCATCATCTTCATCTTTGGGTTCAAGAAATTCAGCTTGTAATGGTCGCGAATTACTAAAAATTGAACGTTATTTTACTCTAATAACTTCTATACGTACGCTGAAACTAAAAACACTCGTTCGCGTATTTGTGTAACGGCATCTTGCGCAGACAATTTGCGTTCAAACTGGAAAAATATTGGCATATAAAATTTTAAATTACGTAAAAAACCTCAATAATTCCTTCACCAGTTGGACGACCTTTTTCATCAACAATGTGCACAGCACGTTCTTAAAATTATTTAAATTATAATTTGTCAAAAATTTTTTATCATTACCGACATCGCCAAAAGCAGAAAATGTTAAATAAAGCAATTCATTTGAGACGGCTGGAGAAAGTTCTTTTACCTTAATTTTTGAATTTAGAAATTTAAAAAATATTTTTCAAATCATACTTTAATCGCTGCACCATGAACAGCAAAACGCACTCGAATCTGTCGACCTTTAACCATTTTGGTATCCAATGCTTCCTTCGCAGCTTCTGCATGTGCACGAGTATCCTAAAATTTTAAATTGTTTTACTAATTATGGTTAAACTGAAACCACAAATAATATTTTAAATCCAACTAATAAAAAAATAAATTCTATAAAGCTTTAGTACGCTGTTTTATAACTAGCATGCATTCGCGCTTGTTGCCCAAATTACCCCAATATTATAAATTTATTCCAGCCAACAGATATCCAGAAGATTGTTGATACAAATGACGAAAATCGTTGATTCAACTAACCAAACAAACGAGTTAATTATTTTGGTTTAACATCAAATAATGGAGTCAGGATATGATTATTAAAAGATTAGTAGTAGTTTGCAAGCAGTCAATCAACAAGTTTTTGGAATTGTGTAACAAGAACCTTTATTCGTAATTGTCTCAACATAATCACACAACCCTTCCCTATCCCCATAACTTTATAATGTTGAAGTCAGTAGTACAATATTGAAGAAGTAAAGGCGCCTCGTAGACTGATGAAAGATATTGAATTTGGGTCAAATAAGAAGTTAGGAAACCGATTTAAAATACACCCTTATATGTAGTTGAATGTGTTAGAAATATATTTATAAAGTAAATATTTCCCAAAAATTTTAAAAAAATGCGCATTGTTGTCAAAAATTTTGGAGCAGATTTCGCAATTGCAATTTTTACAAAAAAAACTTGAAAACTAACCAAAGTCCAATAGAATATGGATTTAAATATTTAATGCTAAACCCAAAAAAATTTAACAAGTCATCCCCAAAGTTATAAAATATATTAAATAAAAAATTAAAAAATCCCCCCCCCCCCTCCACTTTAAAAACATTTACAAAACAAAAAAATTTCTAAACAAAACTGTACCAAGCGGAGAAAGGCAAATCCTTTACCAGAAATGTAGCATTCCTGTAAATCCATAAAAATGTAAATAAATGTTGCTATAGGTCTTCTTGCTGTATATAAAAACAGCAATTTTTTATACCGAAATTTCCCCGTATGGCAGGAAAAGCTCCTTCAGATCTTGTTCTTTAAATTCAGTTGAAAGATTCCCAACAAAAAGACGGCAGCGCCCAGTAAATTTTTTCTTCGGTTGATCTTCAAGCAGTTCGGATTCGGGAATAGGCGCTCCCGAAAATTTTGGTGGAGGAGGAAAACCTGGCCTTCCACCAAGTTCCCCACCACTTCGACGAGTTGATGGCGGTGTATCATAATCATGTCTTGTTGAATGTGAAGAGTTTCTAAATGTAATCATAAAATATCGCGCGTTTTAGAACGGCAAAATAATAATGAGAAAAAAATGAATTTAAAAAAGTTTTAAAAAACTTTGAAGATTTGTATTATGCTAGGATGATATAGGGGAAATGGGGGAAAGTTTTGTAAAATGAAACTCTAAAAACAGTGAGAAAAAGAAAAAAACTTGCTAGTAGAATCATGAATAAGAATAGATATGAATCTTGTTAAAATGAAAAATTTAATCTAAAAGTTTTGTACGCAGAGTCCCCTCTTCCCAATGTTAATCAGAGCCCCATCCCCCTCCCTGTTGTCAAAATTGTTGCAATCTTGCAGAAAAAAGAGAGGTCTTCTCCGCTATAAAACTCTTCATAATCTGACGTTAATGTTTTGCTTTCACAAAAGCGAGCTTTATAATCGAAGTAAAAACTATTATTTGATCTGTAAAACAAATTAACATTGTTTAGTGCATAGTAAAAAGGTGATTTAAACAAATGCATAGCAGGGATTGGGACAGGTTGAGGAAAATGTCGGGTCGTGTTTTCAGTTTTCCTCACATCAGATCGGGTTTCGGGTTGGAAAAAAACCAGAGTTTGGTTGGGGCATTTAAGGAAGTTAAGAGGGAAAAATCGGGTCGGAGTTTGAGAAATTTCTTGGATCGGGTTTGGGGTCTAGAAAAAGTCTAGATTTAGGTTAAACCGTGATACATAGCAACTTTATAGCGGAAGCACTTGGAGAATGAAATATGGACGCGCAAGTGATTAAAGGTCATTAAATGAAATTGTCAAAGTAAAATTTATATATGCTTATATTTAAAAATAGTGCTAATACTTTAAATTTACAAATAGTCCCCATAAAAAACTTTGTGAAATTTCTAGAATATTTCATTTAAATTAAATATATTCCACCAAAAAATCTATTTTTAATCCTCAGTTATAAGAAAACCCCAGACCGTACTTTCCGCAACATACAGTGCAAAAAATTAACCATCTAAATCTTCAAATATCCCCCCACCCACCAATCAAATATTCTAACATAAATATTTTACAAACATAAAAGTGCTGCCCAGCAACCCCAACCAAAATAAAATTTAACCAACCTCTCATCCGGTGCAGAACGTTTCCCAGGACGTTCCTGTGGCGTATTACGCCTACGTTGATCATCTCTTGAAGATCTTTCAGATCGTCTACTATCAGATGGCATTTTTAAAGTTTAAGTTCTGAATAGAGTTAATAATTTGTGGATAAAATTTAAAAAATATTTAAAGTTTTTACAACTTTTTTTGTGTGAAAGAAAATAAAAAGACATCATTTATTCAAGTAAAAGTGCAGAAATAATTAGGTTGATATTTATATTTTTTTGTTTTTAAAAGCGAAAAAAGAGCAAAAGAATCAACCTAATTATAAATTGATAATAACTGAAAGCTTAGAAAAAGAAATTTAGCCAGAAAACATTAAAATTACTTTTTTTTGTAATATACACAAAAAAGGCTTTTCTTATGTTAGAATGAATTTTAATTCTTTTTTGTTGTGTGGTGTGAAAATTTCTTTACATCTCCCATAGTACCTGCGTTGCTCTTCATGAGAGATCTAAAAAATATTTATTTAAACATATGTCGATTTTGTCCACTAGAGATTGAGTTATGAAGTCTGGGTTTTGGTCCTAGGCTCCGAATTTGATTCATTGACTCGGACCGGATCCTGGAATTCAAGTTTATCCCATACAGAAAAGTCAAGCCTCAACCCGGACGCACAGCTCGATCTCTACTACTTTTAAAAAATTATATACATGAAATGTCGCCCATCTTCGTAGCATTAACTTCCAATTGTTCTTTGGCAAATTGCACATATTGATCGTGTTGTTCTAAATATAATTTAAATTAAAAAAAGTATTAATTAATAAAAACCATCAAGCTTCTTATTCAAAATGGTCTCATATTCATAGCGAAGACGAACTTCCTGCTCTCTAAGTAAGCGCTCACAAATCAGCTTTACTTGTCGAAGAGAAAAATGCGGCTTTTCGTAGAGAGACTCCAACATTGCAGCTCGTTGCTTTTCTGGATCTTGAATGCTATGAACTTCACCATCAGAATCACTTCCAGACTATAAATGAAAACTTAAAAAACATTATTTAAGAAAATAACGATCGAAGAAGTTGGTGAATTTGCTTTACGGAAGTTTGCCGTACTACTTGACAATTCTAGGCTGTTGGTTGTTATATTTGCTCGACGAGGAATTAATTTTCGACGCTTCAGATGCTGAATCTCAGCACGCAGATAAGAGTCAAGTTGATTGCTCGAAAGTTGACAGCGTCCAGAAATTTCCGCAAATGGTGAACTTGGTACGTTGATTAATCCATTAGAGGGCTTTGAATAGAAAAAATAAAAATAAAGAAAAAGTTAAATGCAAACCTTTGAAGTTGAAGTACCCGTTGTTGACTGATTCAATGAAGTTGCCAATATACCCATTTGAGGGCGAAATGGTGAACATTTTGGACTTGCGCCGCTTTGGCGAGCTCTCTTGACATCAATCAATTCGAATGCATCCTGGCCCAAATCTAATGGGCGTTTAACAGCTAGTCCGCAGGTCATCGATTTTGTGTTTATTTGAGGATATAAATAAAGTTCCTATAAAGTAAGAAAGAATTGATGATTTAAAATACAATTCAAACGTTTGACAAGTAAAAAAGAAAGTAAAAAGAAACCAAAATTTGTGTTTTAAATCAACAGAAAATTTACAATTACAAAAGCTAAATTGATATTTTGCAAAATACAATTAGAGATTTTAAACGGCTAAACCACATTTGGCAAATCCATATTTTACCAATAAGAGAATAAATCACGTTTTGCCAATATGGCTTGTTGGCAAAACGTTACTCCCTAGCCTCATTGGTAAAATATGAATTGGCCAAATATGAGAAAGAATTTTGAACATTTCAAAACAACGCTAATTTCTATTTTTCTTTATAACAATGATTTTCTTTGCGTGCTCTCTTGATTTTCTTTCTTTTCCTTACCGCAAATGTGTGTAAACTAATAAGTAGCTGAAAATCAATGCTATGCTCTTTGAGTAGAGTATAAACATTATAATGCAGCCAGCCGACTTGTGACAACAACGAATAGAGAAAACCGAGAGCGACTCAGGCACTTTACAAGAGGCGCCTTCTCATCTCTTCATGATCAAATTTTGAAAGTAGTAAATGCTCTCTCAAATTTAACCCCTCTCCTCCCGAATCTTTGTCCTTTTTTTCTTTCTTTTGATGTTTTAGAGTAGTATTTACATTTTTTTTCGAAAAGCTTGTATTTTTTGTAATTCAAGCGTTAACCATTTTATTTTTTTTTAAAAGTAAGCTTTTTTGTTAGCATAGCACAAAATAAATCTTTATAATAAATCTTAATTTTCTTTAAGTCAACCCACACAATGTTTTCCATTAGAGTCTGGTTTGTATGTTTGATTTTAATTGTGCCTGTTTAAATATACTTTTCGGAGTCTGATCCGAATTCCTAATTTGCAACTAGGATTAATTCGATCAACCTGGTTAGTCCGATCAGGAAATAATCCTGGCGGAGATCGGGAAAAGTAATCTAAAAACCCCTTAGAGAATCTCAAATAATTTTAAAAGTTTCTTTTCAGATTATCACTTCTTAAATTTAATTTTAATATTTTTTACCTCAATTAAACTACCAATTTTATAATTTATACTTCTCTTAATGATAATTAATTTTTAAACTCATCAAAAATTAAATAAGCATTTTTATTAATGGCCAATCAGTCACAACATAATGATACTGCGGTTATAGAACATAATAAAAGGTGGGTGTGTTTTATTCAAAAAATATTAAAAAGTATGGATCACTCTACCTAAATTGGAATAATCCATAGTTTCGTGAGTGTTAAAAACGTAGATTTCCCTCTTGGGTAAAAAAATGTTGGTCTTGAGCATTGGGGGTTACTTTTTTCAAAACTTTATGTTAAATTTTAAGAGTATCTTTTGGTGGCGAGGAACATGTTCAAATGATTCTGTATGATGATGGTGTGGAAAATGACTATAGTATAGCCAGCTATCGGCAACAAAACAAATCAACAACTTATACAGAGTACGTAATTCTTTATATTTTTTGTGAATTATGGATAGGTTTTTTAGTGTAACAAGTTACAAAAAAAGCTTTTTGAGGATGATTTTATTTTTTAACTACTATTTATGTCCATTGTATAACCATGTTTTTATTCTTCTAATAACAAATAAGTGAGAAAAACAAGGTGCTGCCTTGTTTTTTGGTCGATTTCAAAAAGCGTTTTTTAACTTGTTAATCCAATACTCAAAAGGCTATAACCACAAAGGTACCTAATGTTTATTGAAAAAAGACAACTGAAGAAATACTTAAGGAAGACATCTTTTAGGCAGTTTTCCCCTAAAATTTTGGACCAGCTGTGTATCTTTCCTTATTTTTGGCATAGTTATACTAACAAATAAGTAAAAGGAGTGAGATACTAAAAATAAGAGAATACTTAGAGAATAAGAAAACTACACATATAAAATCTCTTTTTGGATGTACCTCTTGAAGAGTATTTTTGGGCCAAGCAGCTGGTCAGCGGTTCTTTGTTTTTTTGGGGAAATACTCCCTTTTATCAATTGAGTCTTAAAATGTTAAATTGTAACTAATTTCGTGATGTTTTTCTACTCTTGTGGTAATACTCTTGTAGCTTTTTTCTTTTCTTTTTTAAGACTAAAAACTGTTAATTTTGATAGAGAGTAAAAGAATTAAATAAAAAAAACTAAAAATGGCCACAATATCTCTCCTTTGTTTTGAGAGAATTTAGGAAAAGCTGCTTTTTTACATCATTTTAGTATTTCCTCTCCTCTCACATCCGTTTCCTCTATGTCTATTTAGTTGAAATTGTGGGCATTATTTTTATTTACTCAATTGTGTTTTTTTCAAAAAAAAAATATTTGTAACCCTCTTCATTTTATTTTTAATTAAGAACTTGAAGAAAAATAAAATTTACACGTGAGACAAAATTTTTTGTAATTTTCAGTCCAGACGCTCCTCTTAGTCGTGTTAGAGTGCACGCTGAACAAGTTGAATTACCTAGACCAATTTCACCACCCGCACAAATTACCACAACAACGCAGCCAACAGCAATTGTGGATGCTGTTGGTTCGTCAGTATCAGGTCTGGCCACTCCTCAAGTCACTGCCTCATCCACTTCGATTCAGATGGTGAACAGTCCTCCATTGCCCTCTTTTATGAAGTTGGTTTTTTTCTAATTTAAAATCTCATTTTATTTTTTTAGAAAGTCTGAACATGAAAATGAAAATCCATTTCGGCCAGATGAGCAGCTTTATCACGAGGTGGGAAAATGAACAATTAAGTATCAAGTTTTGTATCTTTAGGTTGATCCTATTGTTGAGTTGTATCGACAAAAACCATTTCCGCCTTCACCCTCACACGGGTCTCCTGTACCTTCACATCAACTAAATTCACAACCTTCCTCCTCATCTCATCAGCGTTCATCAATTCGAACAGATAAAGTCGCTAATGGAGATAGTGGTGGAGGTGGAGGGTAAGTACTTAATATTAGAGACCGAACTGGGAGTGTCGTACGAGTTCGACATCTCGGTCCGGTCTCCAGTATTTCTCACTTAAAAAATTTTTTTAGTGCTTCATTTACGGAGGCAAGACAAGAAGCTTCTACGCATGCAACAAGCAGCAATCAACCATTAATAATGGACACTTCTGTCTCCGTGGATGGGCTAGGGCCTCCGGGCCATGCCGAAATGGTACGGTTACCTGAGAAAAAGAAACGTTCCTGTTGTTCCCTTCAATGATGAAAAAAAAGCAAAAATTGATTTTTTTAAAAAGCATCATCACCACTTTTTTCAGCACAAAATTTTTTCTAAATTTTTACAATGTATTTCCAGTCAAAATACCCCAAAATTCATACCGTCCAATACTGCTTAAATTTTTTGTTCAATTTTTTTTGTTGGCTGTGAGCTCAGTTTGTTAACTTTTCAATTTTTTTATTTTTAGATAAAAAATATTTTTTGGCATCAAAAAATAATTTTTTAAATATTAATCCTGTTTTAACAGAATTTTTGACAAAAAACACATATTTGGTGCCAAAAATAATTTCTAATTCCTTTAGGATATTTAAAGATCAAATATTTAAAAATCAGAGTTTTAAGGTTCACATTCTGAATCTCATTAAAATATTAAAGCTTATTTTTTTTAATTGTCTTTAAATTCTAAGTCTATATTTCTTTTCTTAGTAGATATCTACATATATTTTTATGTTAATTTTTTTAACCGAAATATAATTTGACTATTTTTAACAATTAAAAAAAATAATTTTCTAAAAAATAAATTTCGGTTCGCGCATATTTTTACAACTCAAAAGTTTTACAAATCAATTTTCATTGTTCTAATACTTTACATCTTTTTTCGTTTGCAAAATTTATAACAAAAGGCAATTGCATTCTTTATGGTGTTTTATTTTTTTTCCAACTTTTTGAATAAAATTTCTGAATGTTTCGGGAATATTTTTTAGCTTTTCCAAATTTTCCCCAAAATTTGCCAAACTTAAGCTTGATTTCAATCATTTAATTCCCCATTTTTACTGCGTTTTAATCGATTCTCTTGGTTACATTTTTTGTTGTGGGTCTTTATTTTTTTGGAGGAAAATAGGGAAACAACATCACAGTTTTCCTGAATTGCGCTTGTTCTCTCTTATTTACTTTTCATCTTCTCCCATGCATTATTTTTTCTCCGTATTTCTCATTTGCTTTATTTATATTCAATATACGCTAACCTCTTCCAAAATATAACGCTTGCCCTGCTGAATTGGGGTTTTTCAATAAAATTTATAACCCAGCATAATTCTATTATTTATGTATTACCAAGTTGAGTCAACTACTAGAAGCGCTTCTTACATATGCACACCCGTTTATAGCTTTACCAAATGTAGTAAATCCGTAAAAATCCAAAAGCTTTCATTGGATAAAAACTATTAGAGAACATAATTGATAAGTTAAGCAAGTGGTGATAAAGGATAAAGTGATTTTATCAAGTTCGTTCTCGACTCTAATGTCTTGTCTGACCAAAATAACTAGTGAAATTAGAGAAAGAGAGACAACATTTGTTATGATGGGTGGTTAAAGAGTCGCAGTAGCAGAGAATTGTTAAAGCAGCAGCTAAGTCAAAAGACAAAATAATTTTGCGTTTATGGGTGTTTTCCTTTTTGTTTCAGGCAGCTCTTCCCGGATATATTTTAAATTAGGAATGATAAAGCGCTTTTATCAAGTTCATTGTTGTCGGAGGGATGAAAGAGTCGTGAACTCAGACTCTAATGTGTCGAGAGGGTTTTCCTTAAAATTTCCTAAATTTCTTTAGCTTGAGTAAAATTTTTATTCATTAAATTTTTAAGTATATGATGGGCCAAGATGTTCCTACAACAACTTGCGTATCTTCTGCAACAAGTAGTAATATTTCTCAACAACAAACAAATTTTGTTGGTGCTTTCAGTAACATAGATTCCTCCAATGATTTGATAAAAGAAAATGAGCAAAATAAACAATCAGCAACTACAACATCTTCAATTTCAAGTCATTCCTCAACTTTTCTCCAAACAACTAGTAATGTAGATTATCTTGGACAGCAACAACAGGATGATATTAATTCTGACAATTTCCCTGAAGATTTGAATGGTTTAGATGGAATCTCCCCAATTGGTGATTTATCATTGCCAGCGAATGTTATTGGACCAAATTCTGGTGGAAAATGTAATTCTAAAGTTGAGGTATTTTTTAAAGACTATTTTGTTGGGTCTTGGGGTAATGAGATTCTAATGGAGCCAAACAACGGGGCGGACATATATTTCAATTTACAAAAATCACCCCAATCTCGATATTTTCCCCCACCGATTCTAGAGGTTGAAAAACCCTTGAACTTTTTTAATTTTACTTTTAAAAATAAAGAACAAAATTATTTTTTAAAAGTTTTTTGGTTTTGTGCCTACTTCAATTGCCAATCCAGCGTCGGCTAACGGACATCAACATCTTCAGCAACAACAAAATATAAATTCTCAACAAAATTTACAGCAGCAACAATTTAATGGTCCTGGTTCTGCACCAGCAGGTCCCTCTTGCTGTTCTTCAGCCGATTCTGGACATCATTCAGCTGGTGGTTCTGTTTCTGGTGGAACGACAACAGGTTTCGATTATTTTCGACGTCCTTCTTCGTCTTCCTCTTCGAATGTTTTAAATCAAAATACTGATCAACAACGGTTACAACAACAAAAAATAATTATTCGTGATCCGTTTGCACCCGACTTTCCCCCAACAACCTCTTCACAATTTTCAAATCTATCGCCTTTAAATGGTCATCAACAGCATTTTAATGATCAACAACAACAAATGATGCAACCAACAATGCAACCACTTAATTGGGACGGAAAACCTCCAGCTGACTGTTTGTTTTTTAATAGTTAAGTAGGAAAATTTTTATTTAATTTTAGCTAAATCCATGGCAGAATTAGCCAGGTTGGGGTCTACAGATCCTTCTCGGCCACCAATGCTTCCATTACCCAATGTTAAAGAAGGTGGAATTCCTCCTGGAGGTGTTTTTCCACAATGGTCTTTTTATAACATGCCATTAGTAAGTTTTGAATAAAATATTCTACTTTAAACATTTAAATTTTAGCAGCGTCAAAGGCTTGAACAACTCTACCCAGAAGGCACTTTTGCACCTATGGGTCGATGGTTAGTTAAACAAGATAAAGAATAGATAAATTTTACTCTTTAAAGGTCATCAATGCCTATGCCAATGTTTAGGCCGGTTATTCCTCAAGCTCGTATGGTTTTGATGTCTGTCAAACCAGGTGTGCCAGTGAATCCAGCTTTGATACCACCGTGGCTAGTTGGAAAGATTCCACCGGGCTTTATTCCAATGGTTAGTTTTTCGACCGTGAATTGATCACGTCTCCTGTCGGTTTAAATAAGATATCTTTTTATAGGTTGCCCTCCCCGGTCCGAACGGTCAAGCGATTCCTGTGCCTTACAACGCAATTCTTCCAGGCATGTTTCCACCTCCTAATGTATTACCTCCACAACAACTTCAACCTAACAATCCTTCCTCTGTTAAACAACAATGTGATGCCAACATTTCTCTAATTAATTCAGCAATGACACCAGGAGCTGCGCCAAAACCCAAAAAAGAAACGGCAAAACAGAGGAAACAACGAGAAAGGGAAGAGCAGTTAAGAAAAGATCAAGATATGCAACAAAATCAACAAACAAATTTTGTATGGGTTTTTCTATGATTTTAAATAATTTTTATTTATTTTTAGGGTCGTTCTCCTCAAATGGATGGAGGAGGTCAAGATGGTTCTTCTCCATTTTTTGGTCATATACAACTGCAACATCAAATGTTGCAAGGAATGCAACAGGATGCTTGTTTTAAAGGTTTCTTCTTCAATTCTTAATAAAAACATTTTTATTTGCCTTTTCTTTTTTAACAAAAATTCCTGTTTTGGTTTGAAAATTTTTGAATGCCAGATCTAAAGTCCCCACTGATTTGGGCAACTTTTCTTAATATTTTAATTTTCCAGTCCCAGGCCGATCACCTCCATCCATCAAACGATGCACTTCTTCAATTCCTCCATCTGGTCCAGGAAGTGCTCCTCCACCTGTCAACAATTGCCCTACACTAGCTCCTATGCCAGATCAGAGGATACATGCAAAGGGCTTATGTTTTGCTTGTCAACAGGAAATAAATGTATTTTTCTTTTGAAAATATTTTTTTTGAAAGTAAATTGTGTTATCTTTAGCAGCAACGTAAAGCAATTCAATGTACTGCAATTAGTCAAGGATGTAATCAACTTTATCATTGGGATTGTTCTGGTCTTTCATCTGATGCATTTGCAGAATTTTGTAAAGATTTTCGTCTTGAATGGATATGTCAAAGTTGTTTTAATTTAAAAAGTAAAGAGCAATGCCTTATGTTGGCTTGCTAAACAACACGAAAAATAGTTAGAAATAAAATTTATAGAAATAACCTCAGAATATTAAAATTTAAAAAATATACCATATATACAGAACAACAAAAGAAATAATTTTCAATTTGTGCCTCATATCAATCCAAGAAAATCCCTGTTTTTATTTTTATATTTGCCATTTTGTATAAGCCTTAATCTTTTTTGTAAATTTTTTCTATTAAGATTATTTAGAGTTCGAACTTTTTACATTCCGGGACCGACCCCGAGGTTTTTCTTCCTAGCTGCCGCAGGGTGGGGTTTCCGGGCTAAAACCTCTGAAATTCGCTAACTCGGTTAAAGCCGAATTTTTTACCGTCTTTTCACCTCCGAATTCGGATGCGGTTTTTTCAGGTTTTTTAAAATCGTGTGTTCGAACTCTAACACTATTTTTTGGCGTTTTTTTCAAAATATTTTCTTATTCTCACGACCAGCATTTTTCGTACATTTGGTAGAAACTCTTTGTTTTTTTTCATTTTCACAATTTTTAATTATTGGTTCGCTTTTATAAATAAAAATATTTTTTTGTAGTTTATAATTTTTATTTATAAATATTCTGTATTATTTTTTGATATTTCTATTTAGACATAATAATTAACAAGACATTTTTTGTCAATAAAAAAGTTGTTTATTTATTTAGTGTTAGCTGGCAATTAAAAGTGACGAAAAGTTTTGGTGTCAAAAAGTTTGTGTGACGAAAGGTTAGTGAACCGTTTTTATTTATATTTTTCATTGGGTTCTTTTAATATTTGAGAAGGTGAAAAGTAAATTTTAGGGAGATATGCGCGACTTTTTAACAATTTTATAAAAAGGCACGTGTCATACGTTTATTTAATTTTGTTTAATTCTTTGCACAGTTCTTTAATTTTTTCACGTTTTTTTTAATTTTCCAGTTTTTAAAATTTGCTACAACAATTAAAAGTGATCAAATTTGCTACCTATTTTATTTTTGCTGGATTTTGTTAGAATTAACATAGAGATGGATGATATTTGCTAAAATTTGTTTAAATTTTTATGTCAACAAAATGTTTTTGTGCATTTTTTAAAAGGTTTATATTTTATTTTAAATTTATTAAAATAAAGAAAAACTTAAAGGATCCGTTGGGTCTCTGGGTTAGGTGAATCCAACTCGATAGGTCCGGCTCGTCCCTATTTACTACAATTTTTTTAGCAAATAAATCGGATGTATGGGACAGTAACATTTCTTTTTCGTGCTTTCGAGAGCTAGAGTGAAAACCTGACTGATCCTTTTGTGATTCCTGACCTTCTAAATTTATACATGCCAAAATAGGCAATTTAATTATATGACAATTTTTCTAATTTTTAAAGTATGGGTAGACGTACACGTTCAATCTCTTCAGCAATTTGTTGTAAACGACGTTTTCGCTCTTCAACTCCAACTTTAAGCTCAATGAGTGCAAAGCGGCCTTCAGAAGCTGGACTTGTTCATGCACTTTTTATAATATTTTTAGAATATTTTTCTTGGGGTCTTTTGACTGTGCCTGTGATTAGTGTATAATTTTAAATTAATTTTTGTAAATTTATTTTTGTTTTTTAAAGGTTCTTGCTGAAACATTTCCTTCAAATAAATTTCTTATGAATGGGCTTATTATGGGTTTAAAGGTTTCTTATTTTTTAATAAATTTTTTGGAGAAAAATTAGGATTGCACCCCGACCCTTCGGGGTCTACAAGTTCGGGATCGGGTTTTAGTCAAAAATTGTCGGGGTCGAGGTGCAACCCTAGTAAGAATTTTTCAGGGCATTCTCTCTTTTATTTCTTCACCTTTGGTTGGCGCCCTTTCTGATGTTTGTGGTAGAAAACCTTTTTTGTTGCTTACAGTGTTTTTTACGTGTATGCCAATTCCCTGCCTTAAAATCTCGCCATGGTATTTTTTGTTAATTTTTCTAACTAAAAAATACTTTTCAAAACTAAAGGTGGTATTTTACTCTCTTCACATTTAGTGGCCTCTTCTCTGTAACTTTTAGTGTTGTGCTTGCTTATGTAGCTGATATAACTGAACCTAATGAAAGAACAACTGCTTGTGGTTTGGTTTCTGCAACTTTTGCTGCTTCTCTTGTCACATCACCAGTAAATTTTTAAAAAAGGGTAATCTTCTTGTTTACTGATCGCTATGAAAAAAATGTGTAAGAAATGCTCGGTCGATTATTTCGAGTTTGCCAGCATGTAATCGAGTGCTGAAATGAGTTCGAATATGAGCTCAAATTTCAGTTATTTTGAATATCGGACTCGAATCCGACAAGGTCAAATCGAATGGAAAATTAGATTCTTGGACTCAACAAGAACTCAAAAATATCGAAAGAGCATTTCCTGCTCATTTTTTCTAGTGACCAGTAAACTTGAAGATTACCAAAAAATTTTCTAATTGTTTTTTTAATTTTTCAAAGGCTTTGGGCGCTTATTTAAGTCGAATATATTCTGATGATGTTGTTGTTCTTTTGGCTACATTAATTGCAATTTTAGATCTTTTATTTATTCTTTGTTGTGTTCCAGAATCTAGAAAACAGCCACAAACTGTAATTGAAGGAATTAATAGTAATGGATTCTCTGCAAATCCTTTTATTATTTTACGTTTTCTTCGGGATGAACAAACAATTTTGAGATTATCTGCAATTACTTTTTTGTCATATTTACCAGAAGCTGGACAATTTTCATGCTTTTTTGTTTACTTGAGACTGGTTAAAAATGTTTTTGTATAATATTAAAAAAAATTTTTTAAGGTTGTCGGTTTTTCTGCTGAATCTGTTGCACTTTTTATTGCATTTGTTGGTGTTCTTTCTGTCCTTAGTCAAACAGGAATTCTCTTATTAATTACTCAAAAAGCTGGTCCTAAGGTTTAAAATTTTTCTTTTTCAGTTAAAAATAAATTTCAGTCGGCTATAACACTTGGATTAATTTTTCAATTTGTCCAGTTAGTTTGGTATGGTGTTGGTTCTGCACATTGGATGTAAGAAATTTTTTTTCAAATATTTTTTCATTTTTAATTTTAAAAAGAATGTGGGGAGCTGGATTATTTGCTGCATTTTCTCAAATGACTTATCCAGCAATTTCTGCTTTTGTTTCGTTACAGACAAATAAAGAATTGCAGGGAACTGTTCAGGGAATTCTTAGCGGTTTTTAATTTTTTAATTTTAAGGTCGCTTAACATTCCTTTCAGGTATCCGCGGTCTTTGTCAAGGATTGGGCCCAGCAGTCTTCGGCCTTATTTTTTATGCTTTTGGAATGGATTTGACGTCAGATGATGAAAGTGCTGGACATATTGGTGTTGGTCCTCAATTTCCTGTACCAAATATTCGATTTCAATCACCTTTAATTCCTGATAACAATAAACCAATAAGTGCCTCAACAGCACAAAATAATTCTTTGGATAGAATAACACTCAGAACTGGGGTATAAAAATATTTTTTAAATTAATTTTTTGCTTATTTTTTCAGGGCCCTGTTCCAGGTCCACCATTCCTTTGTGGTGCACTTTTAGTTGTTTTTGCACTTATTCTCAATTTCTCATTACCACAATATCGTCGGAAACTTCTTGTAATGCATCGTAGATCAGGAGGATCTTCAAAACTTGATACAACAGCTCTTTTAATTGATGATAATGAATCTTGTACAAAATCATCTATTGATGGGGATGATGATGAAGATGAAAGAAGAAAAGACGCGGAGGAATGACCCCTTCCAAATAAAAAAAGGTGGGCGAAAGGTGAATCGGCACACCCCTGATTTTTATATTTAACACCTAACATAAATTCCTCTGCTTATTGTTGTAATCGGGTCTAAATTGGCCGCAACATTTTTTGGATACATAAGTGTCCTACACTAACGATTGCATTTCTCTATTGTTTTTCCCATATTTATATATTTGAGCCTCTTTCATTTTAACGTTTTATAGTACATAATATTATTTAGTTTATCGGTTTGTTTTATTTTTTCTTTTTCCGAAATTCTTGTCTTAATATATTTAAATTTATCTTTTGTTTACATTGTGCCTACTTTTGAATGTACAATTTTAATTTTTAATTTAAATAGTTAACCTAAACATATGGTAAATATTTATTTTTTGAATTAAAAATAATGGCTATCATATTTTAAAAGAGAATTTTTGTATTTTTAATCAAAAAGTGGAATGAATTTAGAGAAAGGAATCTACTGACTGGAGTTTAAAAAAGGCTCTTGTTCAGTTTATACGTCCAATAAATATTGGGATTAATTAACCCTAATATGCATAAGAATTAATTGGACGATAAAATTTTAAATGGACGTATAAAAGTTGAATGAACACAAAAAGGTATGATTGGACGTATAACCTGGTCGAGAGCCAAAAAAATATGAGAATCTCGTTGTTTAGTCTTTACAGATATACCAATTTATATATTGCTTTTTTACTTCCCGAAAAATCCTTTGAAGGTGTCGAATGCAGTGTTTACTGCTGTTTTTGCCTTCTAAAAATTATTTGAAAGTAAATTTGGTAAAGTTAACTTTAAAAGACCTCAACATGTTCAGTCAATCCAAGCTGTCCTATTATTGAATCCTCTTCTGCTGCCATTTCCGCTGCTAATTGGTCAGGTGTTTTATGTGCTGGTCCAACTCGACCATCAATTCCAAGCGAAGTACCTCCGCCAAAAGCGTCATCCTTTAAATTTTAATATTGGGTTCAAAATACGCGATTCTCCAACCTTTTTGTGGAGACTGTACTTGTTTCGTATTTGGTCACGCATTTTTTCTCGTTCCAATTCCATTTTACGGTGTTTTTCTTTGCGGCGTTCTTCCATCTCTTGTCTGGCTGCGATTACCTTTAATAATTATTTTATTAAAAAAGAAAGTGATTTTTAAAAAATACTTCTGGATCATCTCCTTCCAAAGTTTTGTTCTCATCATCTCCACCTAACCGATTCAAACCGCCTGTAACTTCATCAAGTTTATTCCCAACCATCTGTTTCATCAAAAACCCAGCCATTTTTTGTAATTTTTAAATTTATTGAATTATGAGAAATTGAAGTTGATGTTTAGGCGAGAATCACTAAAAAAATAAAAGAAAAATCGATTTTTATTCTCTTACAAGAAAAACACGCAGCTGAAACGTGCCATTCTTTTTACTAGAAACGCAAAAATGAATATGTGGGAACACGAAAAAGAGGGTAAAGAATTTAACCGGCAAAATAAAAACGCTGAAGATGTATGACATAGAAACGTCATAAACAAAAAATTTTTAGTAAACGACTACGCCACGTAAGTTCGCCTTGTTGACGCACGCGTCTAGCTCGTCCTATACTCTAACGTTTGGATTGATGTGTTAAGGACTGAAGTGTCCGATTTGCTGTCAAATGTGGAACGACAATTGGGCAGCTATACTATTTGGCTATAGGACAAGTAGGCAGTGGACAATTGGGTAATAAGTTAATTTTTATCAGAAATATCTCCTACAAATCACTTCCCAATCGTCCTTTACCCAAATATCTATTGTCTAACTGTCTTCTTGGCCGTTTGTCAAATGATAACTTTTTAAAATGTTAATATCAAAATGTAAAAATTTACTAGATCAAAAAGTGCTGCTAATTCGGGGTGTTTTTTGTTTTGTGGTGGTAGTTACATTTTTCTGATTTCAATTTAGAATCTTTACTCATTTTAATTTAACTTCTTTCAGAAACTAACTTATAATTACTACTAATTAATGGAAAAGAAAAGCTCATCACAAACTTCGGGCTCACCACCCGTCGTGCAGTCATCTCCTTCTGTTAAGCAATCTACGCCTTCAGAAAAATCTAATAAATCGACAACACCTGCTCAACAATCGACACCTTCTGATAAGTCTAATAAATCACCTTCAGTTCAACAATCCACGCCATCCGAAAAATCCAGTAAATCATCGGCTTCGATTCAACAGCCATCTCCGCCTTCTGACCAAGCAACAAACGGTTTTCTTTTTAATAATGTTCCGACACTCTGAAATGAGGGAGAATAAAACTTGAATGTTGCCTAAGGTATAATGAGCGTTAAATTTTTTCTACGCCTATATTGTTTAGGCAACTGGAAAAATGGGCAAAATAACCAACCTCATTTCTGATTGAGTCGGTTCTCCAACCTTTTTAAAAAATATTTTTAGACAAGAGTTCATCAGTAAGCATTCAACTGCGTTCTCCTTCAGAACAGCGTTCACCTTCAGAACAACCATCTAACGGTTTTTTTAAATTTTTAATAGACCTTGAGTATATCAAAAATAGCTATGCTGCATTTTATTTTTGGCTGTTGTTTTTTTCTAGTAGGATTTTCCACTGGACTTTTAGTGCGCCTATGTTGTTTGTTAGATACTCTCTTAAGCTAAAAGAGGAAGGATTGACCATTGGGCTGCTGTGGTCATAGAAACATTTTATTGCCGGCTTTGTCTCGCCTTTTCTCTCATTTTGCTAAATGAACGAAAGAACAACGGTCAATATTCCGTTGGACAAAAAATTTCGATTTCTACAAATACACAGATAGGCTACCATTTTTATATTATTTGTTTTTAGAACAAGCAATTCTAATGGCGAGACGAGATAATTTTCGTCAACGTGGCCGTCAATCATCCTCTACGTCAATTACATCGACTCATTCAGTCGAGCGAATTGCTTCACTCCAGAATGAAAATTATACTGCATTTTCTCATGCAAAATCGGTTTTTTTTCTGAAATTTTTTGAAGTGTTATTTTTTCTTTTTTAGGTACAAGAAGCCTGTAGATGCTTTGATCTGACTCATGAGCAACTTTTAGAGATTATGGCTCGTATGGATGCTCATTACGATGAAGGGTTACATTCAGAAACTGGTTTGTGTTGTTTTAATTAATTCTAATTTTGTATAAATTTAGCAAGACAAGCAACCGTGAAGATGTTACCGGCCTATATTCGTGACGTTTCTGTTGGTCAAGAACGTGGAAAATTTTTGGCTCTCGACTTGGGTGGTACTAACTTTCGAGTTTTGTTGATAGAACTTAAAGGAGAAAAACATTCTTCTATGCAAAGCAAAATTTATCGAATTCCTGATAGAGTGATGAAAGGGACTGGTGTTGAGGTTAGTTAGAAATTTTTTTTTAAATTCTACCTTAAATATGCTCTTTAAATTGAGTGGGATTAAGTATCAGATGGGAAAGGAAAATTTTAAAATCTAAAGTCTTGATGGTTTTCCTAACCTTTCTACTTTTATACTTTGCTATAGAATTTTTATTAATTCTACTTTTATACTTTGCTATAGAATTTTTATTAATTAATTTTAAGCTTTTCGATCACATTGCGGCTTGTTTGGCTAAATTCGTGGTGGATTTTGAACTGTCAAAACTCGAAACGAAGTTACCTCTTGGTTTTACATTTTCGTTTCCCTGTCAACAAGAAGGGCTTACTTCTGCTATTCTAGTCAATTGGACAAAGGGTTTTAATGTTTGTTGTTTTTTATATTTTGATAAATAAAATTTCAATTTTTAGGCCTCTGGCGTTGTTGGTAATGACGTTGTTCAAATGCTTCGTGAAGCTTGTCAACGCCGAGGTGATATTGACGTTGATGTTGTTGCTGTTCTTAATGATACAACTGGTTAAAATTTGGTTACTTTTTCTAAAAAATTTTTTCTTTTACAGGAACAATGCTTGCTTGTTCATTCTTTAAGGAGCATTGCTATATTGGTGTTATTGTTGGGACTGGTAAAATTTCAAATTAAAGAAATTTTTGACAGTGTTTTTATTTTAAGGTTGTAATGCTGCTTATATGGAATCACTTGACAAAATATACAAATTACAAGGAAAAGTTTTTCCAGAAAAAGGTTTTTTTAATTATAGAATAGTTTAAATAAATTTGTAAAAAAATTAGATGGTCTTCCAAACGAAATGTGTGTAAACACTGAATGGGGTGGATTTGGAGATGATGGGGCACTCGCCGATTTCCTTACAATTTATGACACACAATTGGATGAGAACAGCATAAATCCAGGAAGACAACGATTTGAAAAAACAATTTCTGGAATGTATTTGGTACTTAAAATTTTTTTTAATTTTTTAAAATTTTATTTTAAAGGGAGAATTAGTTCGACTTGTACTTGAAGACCTTACAAGAAGAGGCTTGATTACCACACTTCCTATTGATGATATTTCTCAACCTGGATTTATTCCAACTAAATTGGTTTCTGATATTGAAGGGTATTTTTTTAATTTTTCTAAAAATATTTTTAATTTTTATTTCTTAGATTCGTAAAGAATGATCCTAGTCCATTTGGAAAAATTAATGATTTGCTGTTGGATAAAGGTATTTTTGGTCTTTTTTAAAAGACTTTTTTCCCTTGGGTATAGGTCGATCCAATAGCGACGAGTCGGTCTTGAGGTCATATTTTGGGTTATAACTTTTTTAATTCTTAACCGATTTAAACACAATTGAAAGCTCTGGATGTTAGGATTATTTTAGCTAGCCTGATTTTTTTAATAACCGGATTCAGGCCCCTAGCCAGGATTTTTTTTCGGGGGGGGGGCCAAGGGGAAGAAAATTCAATATTTCCTTGTTTTGTTAAATTTTATTATTAAATTTAAAGGTGTTGACGACCTTTCCACTGGTGATTGTGCAAATATTGCTTATGTTTGTTCAATGGTTAGCACACGTGCTGCACATTTGTGTGCTTGTGGAATAGCTTCACTTTTAAAACGTGTAATATCTCGAAAAGTTGCTGTCAATAATGAAAGAGGTGAAAGTTCAGAAATGACTGTTGGTGTTGATGGTTCTGTTTTTCGTTTTCATCCAAATTTTGAACATTTATTAAATATAAAAATACATGAATTACTTGATGGACAATTGAATGGATGGAAGGTTTATTTTTTATTTTAGAAATTTTTTTAATTTAAAATTTTTTTAAAGATTGTTTTGGCACTTAGCGAAGATGGAAGTGGTATGAATAATTTTTTTTAATTTTTTAAACTTATTTATTTGTTATTTTTGAAGGTCGTGGTGCCGCTGTAGCTGCTGCTGTTGCTACAAGAATGAGTCGAATAATGAAAGAGAAAAAAGAACTTGAACAATCTTCAGAGGAAACGGAAGGAGCATCAAAAACTTCACCGAGTAATGTCGAAACGACGTCACAACAAGTGGGACCAACATCATCAACATCAGGTCCAACATCAACAACAACGACCATAGGAAATGGTCATTAATAAAAAGCTTAAAAATTATTAGGAATTTTTTAGGGAAAATATATATAAAAATGTGCAAATTGTTTATTGAATATATTTTTTTTGGGGGTTCTGAAGTAATTTTATTAATATTGGGGATCCGCATGGATCTGAATACCCAAAGAATTTAAAATTCTTTAAACATATTTGCACATGCTTTTTACGCTATAACTAACATAGAAATTTAATAATTAAAAAAGCAACACAAAAATAATCACTTAACAACACAAATTAATATTTTTATAATTGGAAAATTAATATATTAGAAAGTCGAAGGCGTAGTCGTATTCAAAGTTTCCCTGAAGAAGAAGACGACGATGAATCGGCATTATTACAGGTTCGAAAACAAGCTAGAAAATAAATATAATTTTAACTAAATAATTTTTTAAATAATTGATTTTTAGCTTTATTGTTTGACATTTTTTTTAATTTTTATTTTATACGTCTGTTACATTACAAAAAGACGTTGATTCTTTTTAAATATTTTTCGAATTTCTTTTTGTACTTTAAAAAATTTAATTTTTAAATAATCAACGTTTAATTTCGAATATCTTTATTTTAAAACAAGATTGCCTTGAATCGAAATAAAAATGTTTTGGTTACATAAAATCTAAAGCTGGCAACCTTGTTTTTATTTTTTTTTGTAGCTTTTCTCAAGTCTCTTTGTTTTTTAATTTTCTTTAGTATGTTAATTTTAAAGACACTTAAACTATTCATGATAAATGTGTGCTCATTTTTTACTTTCTTGAGGTACTTTTTACCCGTTATATTTGCTTACATTTTTATTTTAAATTTAATAGACAAATTTCTAATTAAAAACTAGAAATCCATAAGTCGGTTATAAAACCGCTATAACTTTTTACCGTAAAAATATTTGTTTCTTCTATTTTTTATTTTAAATTTAATAAACAAATTTCCAATTTAAAATTAGAAATCCATAAATCGGTTCAAGACCGTTGTCTCTTTACCATTTAACAATATTTGTTTCAGAATTCAAAAAT